AGCCACAACCACAGCCTCACATCCTTATTTTTTAAGAAAATATTCTCACATATGTTTGTATGCTGAAACCAGATCTTGTTTTGTTTTCTTTGGGTCTGAGCTTTTTGGTGAAGAGATCTTTACTACGGAGTTTGGGGGACTTTTTTCTTTTTCTGGTTTTCCTTCTCAAGATTCTGTATGAAATTGTCACACTCAAATTTAAGATTTCTCTCTCTCTCTCTCTCTCTCTCTCTCTCTCTCTCTCTCTCTCTCTCTTTATTTTATGGTGCTGGAAATGGAACCCAGACCTGCGTGTTAAGCATGCACCCCACTAATGAGCTAGACCCTCATTTTTTTAAATTGAGAGGAATGCCATATGGAGACCCAGTCATCACATTGCACACTCCTGGGGTTCTTTTTCCTGGCTGTATTATATTTCACCTGTTGATGCAGTTAGGGCTGGGGAGTTGCCGGGGTTTCACTGCAGTGTCAGTCACCAGCAGGGGCTGGGCCTGTGGGAAGCCCTGGGTTCCTTTCCCAGCACAGCGGGAGGAGGGAGGGGAATCATTGAAGTTGCCCTTTTAAGTAACCCTCCCCCCTGTTCCTGGGCACTGGCCCAAATCTTGGTGATCGTCAGTCCTGTGGAAGAGGCAAAGCTGGGGACGTTTTGAAACGCAGCTGCCCAGTGAAGAGCCCTTGGCACTCTGGCCACCCGCGGCCTGCAGTCTCAGCAGCTGCTTATATACAGCCTATTTATAGCCCGTCCCCGCCCCACCCCGCGTCACAGCCCCCAGCTGGGGCCACCAGTGAGCTGGGACCCGGGGAAGGGGAAGTGTGTGGCCAGGCGTCGGGTTGTTTGGGGTTGGGGGCGCCCTGCAGCTTCCTCAGGGCTGTTTCCTAGAAGCTGAGGACGTGGAAGTAGCAGCTCAGCCCCTTCTGTCACCGCAGGGCGCAGCGGGCGGAGGAACCAGGTGCTGGGACCTGTCTGCAGCGGGCACAGGCGCCTCCAGCCACTGCCACCTCATGCTGCTCCTCTGCCACATCTCTGTCCCCCCTCTGCCCCTGAGACCCCGGCAGCTCCAGCCCCAGGACACTGAGAGGCCGGGGTGGTCCTGGGGTCCCCGGATCCAAGGCAGCGCCTCCAGGTGGCTCCATCTATATTTAGGAGGCTGCTCGGGCCTCCCGCCCTCGGAGGGCCTGGCCGGGCTGGGCGGGGACCAAGGGGACATGGCTGGAGCTGCGGGCCCGCCAGGGGTGCCCCCAGGTGTCCAGCCTGCAGGAGGAGAGGGCCTGTCCAGGTCGGGGCGCGGCAGCCCTCAGCTCCTCCCTGCGCCGGGGCTTCCTGCCTCCGACAGCTGTATCCGCGGGGCTGTCCGGCCCCTTCCTCTGCCATTGTGTCCCAGCCCGGGGCATCCTGTTAGGCCCCCTCCACCGGGACCCCAGCTGACCCCCTGCCTGGGCCCAGGCTTGTGAGGGTGCTGGGCACGGGCTGGCGACCCAAGGAGCAGGACACGGGGTCCCCTCCTCCCTTGGCCCTGCAGAGGGCAGCTAGGAGAAGCCCCAGCTGCCACCCGCCTCGGGCAGGCCGCCTCGAGCCACCCCTGCCGCTGTGCCCCTGGTGGAACTGAGACCCAGAGAGGCCCTGTCACCAGCCAGAGGGCCACACAGTGCAACACAGGGAGGGGTTAGGACAGGACGCGCGGGGCGCTCTGGGACTCTGGGCAAGACAGTACGCACGCCCACCCACCCACCCATCGCCGGCCTCGGTTTCTCCATCCATCAAATGGGAACCACAGCCCTGCCGCCCGGGGTCTGGGGAGGGTGGGTGAGCTCTGTCACCATGAGTGCCCAGAAGTGCCAGGTGCTGGACACGCTGACGTGGAGGGGACAGTCCTATAAATGATGGGATTCTTCTAACAACATAATGAGTCCCCTGTTCTCTTGGAGGGATGACCCCGGGTCATCCGATCTCAGTGCCTCCCCAGGTGCCAGTTTCCTGTCCCTGTCTGACGCCAGGAGGAACCGAGGTTGTGAGCTGGTCCAGGGGCCACCAAATGGGTCTTGGGAGCTGGACCCTCGGGGCACAGGAGTCAGATCAGGAGGCCTGGGGAGGCTTCCTCCAGTGAGGGGCATCAGGTGCCCATCCACCCCCGGGGAGCCCTACCCCCACAGGCCACTGCAGGGAAGAGGACCAGAGTCCTGCCCCTGGCCGGGGTCCAGCAGAGGACAGGAGCAGACAGTAAACCAGGCAAGCAGATTATATGATGGGGACGTGAACCAAGAAAGCAGGAGGGGCTGGGTTGTAGCTCAGGGGCAGGGCATGTGCTGCAGCCCAAGGCCATCTGCAGGGCCACCAAAAAAAAAAAAAAAAAAAGTTGGGAAGTATTGGGAGCAACCGGAGGAGGGGAGAGGTCTGCATCGGGGTGAGGGGTGGTCAGGGTGTGTCTGACTAAAACTCTGAAGAAGAGGGCAGACTGCAGGTTGCTGGGGTGAGCGCAGTTCATAGGCCCTGGCAACAGCCTATGCAAAGGCCCTGTGTCTGTCCTCTCCACAAGGAGAATTGGAACTGTGAAGGCAAGAGGGACAGAGAGGAGGGACAAGAACCGGGCAGGGATGAGACAGAGTGTGCAGGGCCTTGGGGTTCTGCTGTAAGTGAGGTGGGAGCTCTAGAGGGTTCTTGAGGTGTGGGCCCTGACTCAGGTGCTCAGGGAGCAGCCGGCGGGGCACCGGGTCACAGGCTGAGGCTGGGCCTGGGTGGAGCTGCGGAGGAGGAGAAGTCATTCTGGGTCTATTTGAAGGCACAACCGCAGGACTTGCTGACCGGCCAGATTATGGGGTGGCAGTGGTGGAAGCGGGGATGTCCCTTCTCAGGCCTTCCTCAAGAACGGGACAAACATCTGGAAGCCTTTTGTCCTCTGCGACCTGTTCCTTTGTTCCTCGGCTCTGGGCGGCCAGCGGGTCGGACATTTGAGTCCCCATTGGACAGACAGAATCCTGAGTCCAGGGAGGCCAGACCTCCTCCAGGGGCCCAGGACCATCCCCGGGGGGAACAGGCAGGGGATAACGGTCACCAGAGAAGGGTGGGGACACCGCCTGGGCAGCGGGCGGCGGGCAGCCCCTCCAGCCTCCCAGATGGCTTCTCCAGACACCAGCTGTCTGACCTGCTGTCTGCAGGGCGGAGCCCTCAGCCGGGGTTTCCAGCTTTCCAGGGAAAAAGCCAAAAACCCACTCTGGACCGGAGCTGGCCCTTGTCCTCGTGGCCTCCCCTGCTGTCCACTCCCCTTCCCAGACCCCTCGGCTCCCAGGCAGCAGCCTGGGACTGCACCCCTCAGGCTTCTCTGACTCCGGCTTGTTGCCTCCTGGTTTGGTCTCGTGGTGGGGAAGGCATCGGGGCCACAGGCCAGGCAAGTGTCCGCCACCCACAGATCTGTACAGGCCATGGTGACTTAACCACCCCAAAGCCACGCTCCTGCCTCCTTGAGCTACTCTGTACTGTTAATTTTCTTTTGCACCCTGAATCCTTTCATGTGGAAAGGAGACTGGGGATACTGCTAGAGGCCCTGGGTCCCCTTCCCAGTGCACACGTGTGCACACACACAGACACGCGCACACACACACACACACACACACACACACTGGGGATTGAACCAGGGATGCTTTACCACTTAGCTACATCTCCAGCCTTTTTAATTTTTAATGTTTGAAACAAATTCTCCCTTTCTTACGGAGGGTCTCACTAAGTTGCAGAGGCTGGCTTTGAACTTGCAATCCTCCTGCCTCGGCCTCCCAAGCCACTGGGATTGCAGATGCGCACCACCGCGCCCAGCTGAAAGTCCTATTTACTTATTTGTGGGGCTGGGATCCATCCCAGGGCCTTCTGCCTGCCGGGCGGGTGCCCTGTCCTGAGCTACCACCCCAGGCCAAAAGAAATGTGCATTCAGGGGACACAAAGCCAGGTCTGGATACTGTGCCTGCTGAGCCTCAGGGTCACTAGCCGGGACTTACTTGGTGGCTTTGGGCTCCTTGTAGAGATTGGGGTCTGGGCTGGCTGTACCGCTCTTGGCCGGGCCCCTCATGAGCGGCCCGGGTGCCCGCGCCTTGGTCTGTCCCTCTGTGAGTGGGAATCTGGCTCAGCAGGCCTGCTGGTGTTTTGAGGAATAGTTGAGTGCTAATAGGCCAAGCCCTCAGGACGGGGCCAGGTGCAGACTCACTGCTTTGTAAACAACTGTGCTTCCAAAAATCACTGGATGGATGGAGAGTCCAGGGGGTCCCAGGATCTACTCCGGGAACTTTCCCATCATGCGATTCCCTGTTGATGATGTGACGCCCACGAGCCCCTGGACGGGGCCCAGGAAGCCCAGGAACATGGCCGCCCTGGGTCTGGAAGTTTCTCACTCTTTCTGTTTGGGCCGTGCTGGGCTCCCACCCAGGACTTGGCTCCGGCTAAGCATGAACTCTACCACTGAGCTGCACCCCAGCCCCCCAAATTACTCTCCTCAGCGCCTGCCTGGCACCCTTGAGGGGCCCTCTGCCCTCCCCAGGCTCCTGGGTGGACGCTGGCCTCCTGTGTCTGCTCCCCATCTGGACATCTGGAGAGAGGGACGGGAAGGCGCCGTCAGCCCAGCTACAAAGGGTGACAACTCAGACCTGAGTGCAGGGCGGCCCTGATGAGGGAGCCCGGGGCTATTTCTGTCCTGGCCAGTAACCAGCTCGGCCCCCCAGGCCCGCCCTACCCGCCTGGGGACGGAGCCAGGCGGCCGAGGAGCCTCCCCTGCCTGGCCTCCCCTGGCCTCTCTGAAGCAGCCACTGGAGCCCTCAGGGCCCGGGAGCAGAGCGTTGGTGGCGGCAGAGAACTGAAAGCAGGTTGCACGGAGCAGGTCCCCGTGCACGTGTGTGCGTGTGTGTGCGTGTGTGTGCGCGTGTGTTCGTAGCACTTTCCTGTTGGCTTCCAGCTGCCCCGCCAGTTCCGGGGAGGGCCCTGGCCAGCGCTGTCCCCACCGCCCCTCTTCATAAAGGGCCTGCCTCTCGACCGGCCACACAGCTGCCGCCCAGGACACAGCGGCCCTGTCCCACGCCCTGCGTGCCGCCCCGCCCCAGCTGGACCATGGGGGGCCCCCTGCGCCTTCCAGGTAAGAGCTCTGGGCCCTGTGGGGAGGGGCGGGGACCTTGGCGGGACCCCAGGCGGCTGCTGAGAAATGGGAGGCACCGCTGGCAGCTCCCCATCCAGGAAGGAAGCGTGCACCGCTGGACACATGGGGACAGAGACCGTGGGGAGCTGCCTGTGCCCTGCCCAGAGGTGTTCAGGCTGCACCCTAAGAGGGGACCCCAAGGCACCAGGGAGGAAAGGTGGCAGCAACAAGTGCCAGCGCCCGCGGGCACTTGCTCTCCTTACAAAGCAGGGCGGGGGGGGGGGGGGGGGGGGGGGGGGGCGGTTGCGGGAGAGCTGGTGGCCTGGACCTCTCCAGCTCCTGGGTGTCCCCAGGATGGTGTCCCCTGTTGTCTCAGTGGCAGGGGCAGCCCCAGAGACCTCTCTTGGTCCTGGAGGAACTGGCTGGGATTCGGCGCCCTCGGGGTTTTGGGGGGCTGTGGGCTTGAACTTGAACTGGAGCCTTGTGTGGCTTCCCCTGGGGCCTCCCTTCCCGCCCCACCCAGGGTGGCTCTAACGGTTATCAGGGCAGCGGTTGCCCAGGCAACGGGGCAACAAAGAGTGAAGAAATGGCATTTGGGGTGCAGATGGGGCTGCCCAGACCACAGGGACTCTCCTGTTGTCAGCCGCTGGTGGCTGGTGGCAGCCCAGCGCCCCCTGGGCTCCGGAGCGCGCCCGGGCACACTGGGTGGGGGACAGCTGCCCGGCTGGCCTGGCTGCATTACAGAGCCCAGTCACAGAGCCCAGAGCTTCTCGGTCCCGTCGGGGGGAGGGACGGGCTGGGTCTGGAGGCTCGGGCAAGTTCACCCAGGAACTGTGTAGGGACCTCGGTCTGTGGGACGCCTGCGGGATGCTGGGGTTGGCTTCTCTGAGCCCCTGAGCCGGAGCCACTCCAGGCCCCGGGAATCCTGGGTCCTCGGCAGGAGGCGGAGGGCGCCCCACCCCCACGCAGGGTCCCAGGCGGGACTCTTCTTGCTCCGGGCTCTGCCGGCCGGGGAATGAGAACCAGATGGGCCGGGAGCAGCGACCAGCAGCTTCTCTCTGGGCTCCTGTTTGGTCACCATCCAAGGCCCCAGATGGCCCAGCAGCTTCAGGACGGTGGTGGGGAGAGCCCGGCCCAGGAGGGGCAGGGAGTGAGGGAAGGAGCCCCCGGGGCCTGGCGACCCCTGCCCCTCAAAGTCACCCTTCCCAGCCTTCTCTGTTCCCTGGATTCTTCCTGATCTTGTTCTGGCCTTGAGCCTCAGTTTCCCCAAGTGTAGAATGGACACAGACGCAGCCCCTGCCTCCTAGGAGGGCCTTGAGACAAAGGAGTGATGTGGGGTTTGGGGAGCTGGGGACCACCAACCCCGGTACCATGCAGGGAAGGGAGGTCACTGTGTGGTCTGTCCTGAGAAGAGGAAGTGGGTCCCTGCCCAGGGGAACTAGCCAAGCCCTGGTGCCCAGGAGGACCGAGAGGGACAGAGGGGCATCCCGGGACCGAGGGGCATCCCAGCGCGGAGGGCCTGGGGCTGGGCCAGGGCGCTCCGCCTCGGTGTACCCCACGGGGGGCGGGGGGGGCTCTCTGCCTGCCGCCAGCCTGAGGGGCCCCAAGGGTAGGCACAGACTGAGCGGTCAGGGCATCCTCTAGTGGGGTCCCCTACAGCCCCCCAAGTGATGCTCATGGTGACCAACCCCAGATTGCCCCCGGGAGCCCCGTCCAGGGTTGAACTGAGGCAACGAGTGAGTCATCTGTTCCCCAGGAAGTGACTCACACGGCCTCCTGGTCCCCGTCCCTCCACCAGGCACCCCCTTGGGGGATCCCTGGACTGGGGTCCTCACTGCTTCTCGGTGGCCCCAGCTGTCTGTCCCCTCAGCACCTGCTGCTGTGGAGACGCCTTCCGGCCTCCTGCTCCATCCACCCCCTGTCTGTCTTTCTGTCTGTCCCCGCCTGTGCCTTCCAGCCCGTGTCCCGCCCCTCGCCTTCTGCAGGTTCTTCCCTGTCACTTCTGTCGCCTGCACTTTCTGTCCCCCACCTTCCTTCTCTTTCCACCTGTGGCTTCTTTCCCGTGTCACTGTCCTCTCTTCTGTCCTCTATCGCCCGGCCCCCCTCTTTTTCTCTCTCTAATCTCTCTTCATCTGTCCTTTTTTGGGGGGAGGTACCAGGGGCTGAACCCAGGGGTGCTCCACCCCTGAGCCACAGCCCAGTCCTTTTCGCTTTTCATTTTGAGACCAAGTGGCTGAGGCTGGCCTTGAGCTCGCCATCCTCCTGCCTCAGCCTCCTGAGTCCCTGGGATTCCAGGGTGCGCACCCAGCCCCACCTGTCTTCTCTCTCCATCTCTTCACCTCTCGTCCATCTCCTCTCGCTCTCCCTGTCTCCTTGCCTGTCTCTCTCTGGAGAAGGGCAAAGAGGCCCCCGGTGGCTTGAGGACGGTCCCCCAGGACATGCCCCTGAGTGGCAGGAACAGAGGAGGGGGCCCCTCCAGCCGGAGCCCAGCTCGTGCCCACGGCTTCTTTTCTGTGTGGGGGGTGGGAGAGGAAATGTCACCATGGGGTCCCAGGATGGGCCTTGGGGCTGATGACTGTGGCATCAGATGTGACATCAGGTACAGCTGGAGCCAGCGGGTGGGTGTGGTGGGTGTGCACCTGTGTCCCCGAGGCTGGATCCTCTGAAAGTCAGGGTGGGGACCAGGGAGACCAGGCAGGGGCCCTGAGAGACCAGCTGGCCCTGACCCTCCCTTCCCACCTAAAGGTCAGCGATGGTGGTAAACACCCTGACACACTGGGGTTTGTTCCCATGACCCTAGGACGTGGGTGTCATCTTGTCCCCACTCCACAGAAAGGGAAACTGAGGCAGGGCAGTGAGGCAGCCTGCCTGTGCTCCAGGATCTGAACCAGGGCCACCAGGCCCCAGTCCCCCACCCACAGGCCAGGAGAGCCACGGCTGGAGCCCAGAGCTTGCCAGGCTCAGCCCCCTTCCCATCCCCCAGACCCTCTGGGAGGCGCCACCTGGGTCCCTCTGAGGAGTGGACCAGGTCCGAGCCCAGGAGGGTCCACAGCCCCTGCCCTCCAGTGCATCACCTCTGGCCTCCTCTGTCTGCTGGGCCTGCTGACCTGCCCTCTCTGTGTCTCAGGGCTGCTGTGTGTCCTGCTGAGTCTCTCCAGAGCTGGAGCCCAGGGCTCTCAGGGTGAGTGTGGGGGAGCAGCGTATCCACAGCCAGATCCTGGGAAGGGCCCTGCACCCGCAGCCCAGGGAGGAGAAGCCTGGGCAGGGAGGTTCGGGGCATCTCCCCACCTCCTGGGACCTCCTCTGGGACCACATTGCCCCCTCCCAGCCTCTGACCAGTCTGTGCCCCCACAGCCTGTAACCCCCGGTGCCCTCTGAACTCGGAATGTGTCAATGCCACCGCCTGTCGCTGCAAGCCGGGGTTTGCCTCTTCATCTACAGAGATCTTCACTGACCCCCTGGAGATCTGTGATGGTAAAGAGGACGGGGGAGGGGCAGAGGCACATCAGAGTCTGCGGGTGCCCAGTGCCAGTGGGGTCATGGGTAATGGTCAAGGCTGAGCCTTTGACTTCAAGGCCAGCATCAAAGACAGAAAACAGAAAGGAAACAGCAAGATGACAGAGAGACCAGGGAATTGCATGGCTTCACTGCACAGAGAGGACCTTGGCCCCAGGAGTTGGTCTCAGCCTGCCCTTAGGTCTGAAGAGGATGATGCTGATCTTCTAGCCCAACTCCCACCTTGGCATTGTCCCCTGTGTCCAAACTGGGAGTGGACACAGCCAGAGGACTGAGATGAACAGAGCAGATTATGTGGCCTTTAGGAAGGGCTTGCTCCAGCTACAGCACAGCCTCAGCAGTACAGCTCAGGATTCTGTCCAGAAGACACTAACTCAACGTCAGACCCCATGCTGGGGGTTTAGGAAGGGGACAGGAGTCTCTTCTCTGAGAGACCACACACCTTTGGGAGGTGACCTTTTGTCCTATTATGTTGCAGACATCAATGAATGTGTGCCACCCATGAAAGTGTCCTGTGGAAAACTTGCTGACTGCCAGAATGTGGAGGGGAGCTACTACTGCACGTGCAGCCCGGGCTATGAGCTCCGTTCTGGGGGAACAAACTTCACTAATGAGAGTGAGAACACATGTCAAGGTAAGGCCCACCCCTCACCCCCACCCCACATGGAGTTCAGGGCACCATAGCTGATCTGGGGACAGCGCCCAGTTATATCCACCTGTCACCAGCACGAGAGGCGCAGGAGGGTCAGGGCACTCTGGGACCAGCTGCTTGGTCCCATCCTGATAGCTCTGCCTGTGACGATGGCCAGGGTGCTTATCAGGAAACCCTGTGGACATGAGAGATGTGATGACATCATTGTGTTTGAAAAAAAAAATCCAGACACAGTGTCCTGTGCCTGTGGTCTCAGCTACTTGGGAGGCTGAGGCAGGAGGATCACTCAAACCCAGGAGTCCAAGGACAGCCTGGGAAACAGAGAGACCCCATCCCAGGTGGGGAAAAAGTGGGGGAGAGAGAAAAAAAAAGAATAACCCACAGGAAGGAGCCCCGATCTTCTAAAGCTACAAACAAAGGTAGAGGCTGGGTGCGGCCCCGGGGCACAGCCCTTGCCTGGCATGAGCAGGGCCCTGGGCTCCCTCCTCAGCACTGAGAAAATCAAAACCAAAACCAGAGGTAGCTTTGCTCTTGGTTCACTGTGTGACTTCAGACAAGTCACCTCACCTCTCTGTGCCTTTGTTTGCCCATCTGTAGAAGGGGAGTCGTGGACTGGGGCGTCGCTCAGTGGTAGCGCACTTGTCTAGCAGGTGCAAGTCCCTGGGTCAGTCCCCAGTACGGGGTGAAGCAGGGAGTCATAAGGTGGGGAAATGAGATCCAAAAACACTGGGCAGGTCCTGGTTCCCAGAAAGTGCCACAGTAGTGATGGCTTTCGGACTTAATTTTTTTTTTTTTTTTAACTGGGCATGGAGGCCCTGCCTGAGATCCCAGCGGATCAGGAGGCTGAGACAGGAGAATTGAGAGTTCAAGGCCAGCCTCAACAACTTAATGAGATCCTGTCTCAAAACAAAAAACAAAAAGGCTGGGGATGTGTCGCCTAGTGGCGAAGTGCCCTGGGGTCCAGTCTCCAGTACAAAAAACAAAACAAACAAACAACTGCATTCTGCGTGCTAGGCTGGAAGCGAGGTCTCATGCAGCCTTCGCCACTGAGCACTTCCCCAGCAGACTGTGTTCTGAGTACTGGGGTCGGTGCACCCTCTCCTGACCGGGCTCCTGGGGTGGTGGGCAATTTGGTCAGCTGTGCCCTTCCCACAGGGGGCCGGTTGGGCAGAGGAGGGGCTTCAGGCATTGGCAGGGGCAAGTGGGAGCCAGTAGTGGGCATGTGCAGCCTCCCAGAGAGGGCATTACTGCAGAGTACCCCAGGACAGGGAGAGGAGGGAGCCAGCACCGGGATGATGAGCTGAGGCTGAGCTGGGGGTCTAAGAGGACCCTGAGGAAGGGCAGCAGCCCCTTCCCTGTCTGCAGAATGACAAGAGCCCACAGCCCAGATCCCAGCCCTGACCCTCCTGCCCTGAGGGTAAACAGACAGCCAAGGATAACAGGCCCGAGAAGCTGGGCCTCAGGGCAGAAACGTGCGAACTCGGAATGCATGACACTCAGCCAGGGGACAGTCTGGGTGTGAACTGGAAAAAGGTTGGCCCCCTTTCCGCGTGGACACAGCCATGGTGTGACCAACACAGTGTTTCCGGCCCCCTTGGTGGACACCCTGGTGCAGTGAGCAACCTGCACCTGGTGGTCACGGATTCCTCCCAGCATGCTCCGTACCAGGTGGTCATCCATATTGAGAAGGTGGGCTGCTGAGGGTTAAGACAACCAGGGCGGGGGCAGGGGGCCAGGTGGCTGGGCAGAGAATGGGATGAACAGGGGTGAAGTGACATAGGGGACACCATGGGCCCCAAGGCAGGTGACAGAGAAAGCAGTCTGCTCGTCTGGAGAAGCACCTGAGGTTCAGCTCCTCACTGAGCACTTGGGCTTGTGCTGCGCAGAGGATACGTCCACTAGCGTCCCACTCCTGTGATGGGCAGGGGACCTGGGACCCGCCCCTGGCTCCTTGGCCCACCTTAGGCTGTGCAAGACAGTCGGTCGCCCAACCTTGTCCAACGCCCAAGACTCAGAACCCTCCGCAGAGGGCCACTTCTGGACCTTCGGAACACCCCGCTGCCCATCTGGCATCTGTTTTGCATGAACCGCAAGGGGGACGGGTCAAGATGGCCCCAGCTGGCCCTGGAGCCCGCGGGGAGCCCGTTCCAGCGCCACTCTGTCCTCTTCCCACTGCTAGCGGCTGCCCGGACGAGCCCTGCCCCTTCTGGGGACCATAGGGGCTCAGCCACACCTGGAACACACTCGGGCCCCCAAGCCACGATGGACCCAGGGACCCAGTCGGGAAATTCAGGAGGAAGGAGACTCGAGGGTAGGCCCCAGTCCCCAGCCAGCACTCCGGCCTGGAGAGGACACCTCTGTGCTCCACGCTTTTCTCGGCCACGCCCTCATTAGCCACGCCCGTCAATCCCACCCTCATCGGCCACGCCCCAGGCACGCCCATCGGCTACGCCCTCCACGGCCACACCCCCTAACCACGCCCACGGGCACTCGCTCATCAGCCACGCCCTCCCGCGCCGCTCAGCCTCGTTCATTTCTCTGCGCTGCTCTCTCCATCCTGACTCACCACTAACTGGTCCACATGAAGGCACTGGAGGAGGGAGTGTCAGGAAAGGGTCAGCAGGGTGACATGGAGTCGGGTGGAGGAAGATGCTCGGTTTGGAACACACAGACAGGGTGACATGGAACCACTCACTGCTCAGCCCCACCCCTCTCCCGAGGAAGTCAACCCAGATCCTAGGGGTCTGACCACTGGGGACAGAGACGATGCTGGGTCCCACGCAGCAAGCCACAGGTCTGTGTCCCGGTGGAGGTGAAGGACAGATGACAGAAATGCCTACCACCCTTCCCCGTCACCATGGCTCCACTCACTGCTGCTGTCCACCCACGGTTGGCCTCCATAGGACAAGGATGCCTTCTTGGGGTCAGGAAGACACCTGCATGGTCCCAGGGCTGCCTGGCTGGATGTCAACCCTGGGCTCTCTGGCATGGTCCTCACTCCTGTCCCTGCCATTAAGTCTTTTCCCAGTGGGCCTGGCTCAGGGGCGGATCTTGGTTCCTCTCCTTGAAGCTGGGCTCTCAGAGCTAGTGGGATGAGAGAACCTGTCCTGCTAGGTCACTGGGACAACTCAGCCATTGAGCAGCCATGCTAGCAGAATCAGGCCAAAGGCCACCCTGGAAACCAAGACCGGCCCCACTGGGGAGCTCAGCACTTCCCCTGCACTCGGGTCCCAGGAGGACCCATCAGGCCTCTGCTCCAAATCCTCAAGCCAGGACACATGTGGCCATGACACCCTGGCCCAGCTGGGAGCTTCCCAGGGAGGCAGAGGGCACTGGGACTGGAGACCATGCTCCCCACAGAGAACCTCTTTGTGGGTTAGGAAAGGAACCTGGGGACACAGTGGGTCCACCCCAAGCCTCCATGCCAGGAACCTGGCTGACTCCCAACCTGGGCTGGCAGAGCCAAACTCTCTGATCACATCACTTGTATCCAACCCAACAAGCCACCTGAAGCTGCCGGCTGCCCGCATCCTGCCCCTCTTCTTCCTCTTGCAGACGTGGACGAATGTAAGCAGAACCCCAGAATCTGCAAGGGCCGCAGCATCTGCACCAACACTCAGGGCAGCTACACCTGCCAGTGTCTGCCTGGCTTTGAGCTGAACCCAGAGGACCCGAAGCTGTGCACAGGTAGAGGCCCCAGGAGAACCCCTGAGGGTGGACAGGAGCCGGGGGTGCAGCAGAGGCAGGTCCTGTACCCAAGCAGGGAGAAGACCTGAGGTTCCCAAAGTCCAGGGGCTCAGGCTCCACCTGAGGAATCACCTCCAGGAATTCTCGCCACAGGGCAGGGTGGCCGCCGGGCCTTTGAGCTCTGGGTCCGTGTGGAGCCCCCAGACCTCAGCCCCACCCTCATCATTCATGTGAGAGTAGAAGAGTCGCTTTCAGTTCTGACAAGGAGCCTCCACCGTGGCCACGAAGAGGAAGACCAGAGTCCTTGGTCAGGAAGTTCCACCCCCTGGCTCAGTTTCCCTCCTGGCTCCACCTCCTGTAAACTGGAGACCAGGGTCCATGCTGTGCCCTTCATGCAGGGAGGCCACCTGAGGTGCTCTGAAGGTGAAGTTGAAGGTCACCAGTGAGGCACATGCAGAGGTCCTTGGTTTGGGGCTGCGACAAGATGGAGAAGTGGGTGCAGTGAGCCGGGCATGGGAGCCGGTCAGGGGCTGGGACTGACCCCCTGCTTTGTCCTAGATGTGAATGAATGCACCTCTGGACAAAACCCGTGCCACAAATCCGCCCACTGCCTCAACCAAGTGGGCGGCTACCAGTGCCGCTGCCGACCCGGCTGGAAGCCGGTCCCTGGATCCCCCAACGGCCCCAACAGCACCGTGTGCGAAGGTGCGGGCTCAGAGGCCACACTCAGAGGCCCGTAGTCCAGCAGGGATCGCAGCCCTCCCGGGCAAACCGACCACGTCCAGTCCAGTGCTGCGGCGCCTGCGCCAGCTAATGCTCCAGGGGCTGGACAGAAAGACGGGGTCCTGGGGGGAGGAGCTAGGGTCTGACGGGAGGCTCCCGGGGCCCTGGGCTGCAGCTAGCGACTAACTGGGTGACGAGTTTCCGCAGCCTCACAACCTGCACCTGCACCAGGCCTCGCACACCCCTTGATCTGGCGCCCACCTCGCAAGGGTGTGGGTCTCCAGGTGGCTGCACGGCAGCCCAGGCAGGGCACAAATGGCGGGAAGAAGGGGGTGGAGCTTGGACGGCAGAGAGCACTGGTCCTGGCTGAGGCGGGACTGACCCCTCTGTCTGTGTCCCCAGATGTGGACGAGTGCAGCTCCGGGCAGCATCAGTGCCACCAGTCCACCATCTGCACCAACACCCTGGGGTCGTACCAGTGCCACTGCCGCCCAGGCTGGGAGCTGATTCCTGGGAGCGTCAATGGCCGGAACAGCACCATCTGCAAAGGTACCCTGCCTGCCCTGACCCAAGAACCTCTCCCACCCCACACACGTGCACACCCACATGCACATGCTCATACACACCCACACACGCACGAATGCCTCCTAATGAACCACTGTCCTGTCCCAGCAGTCAAGCCCTTCTTCACCTGGCCTCTGCCCCCTGGAGTCCACAGCCAGGTGAGCGCCCCAGCCAGGACAGGGAGGTGGGAATCCCTGGGGCAGCACCCTGTCCACCCCTTGGCCCTGAACTTCCCACCCACCCGTGACCCTTCATCTCACCTCCCCAGAGTCTCTCCCGCTTCTTTGACAAAGTCAACAATCTGCACAGGGATTTCAAGCCAGTCGCGGCCACCGACACCATCCAGGTAAGGGCAGGATCCAGGGGGACCCCAGGATGGTGTGGGAAAGGCTGGGGGAGGCTTCCATGTGGATGGAGACAGCCCTTGACCCGAGCAGGGGCCAGGACACTCATGTGCCCACATATTCACCCATCTCCCACACACAGACCTGTAGATGCACCCTGGTGTAAGCACGCGCACACACTAGGGTGCTAATGCAACAGATGGGAGCAGTCAATACCCTTGCTTTGGGCCACAACAATGCAAACCTCCTCACTGCCACTTCTTGCTGTGTGACCTCAGGCAGTTGACTTCCCTTCTCCGGGCCCATTTCCTCATCTGTAACACAAGCATGAAAATGGTGTGGTTTCAGTGAACCCTACTGGTAGAAGTAAAGCTTAGAGAACAGTGTCATACACGAGAAACATAATAGAAATATAATGTAAAAAATAAAGGAAGAAAGAGAAAGGGGAAAGAAATGTGAATCACTTTAAAACATTTTAGTAATTAAATTTTCAAAAAGTAAAAATAAGCTGAGTGCAGTGGTGCACACCTGGAATCCCGGCAGTTCGGGAGGCTGAGGCAGGAGGATCACAAGTTCAAAGGCAGCCTCAGCACTGAGGCCCTAAGCAACTCAGTGAGACCTTGTCTCTAAATAAAATATAAAAAGGGCTGGGGAGGTGGCTTGGTGGCTGAGTGCCCCTGAGTTCAATACCTGGTTGCTGGGTTTCAGTTCTCAAGACTAAAAGGCTTAGGGGGTCACTCCAGTTAAACTGGGCTAACTGAGCTGCACGAAATAACCACACAAGAGACACAAATATCTTTTTGTTTGGGGTCGCTGTGATGGCTCCTCTGACCTTAAGGGTCCGCAGGAAGAGAGAGAGCAAGAGCAAGCGCTGACCCCTTCTATTGAGGAGAAGTTATTTAAATGAGGCAAGGGGTCAGGTTTCAGGGGGCTGAGTCTATCTTCATGATGTCCACTGTCAGCAGGTTGACTGACACCTGGGTAGGCCACACCCAAGGGCACAGTAAGAGGAGGGGACACACACAAGGCACTTCCATGGAAGATTCTATCCTAAACAGGGCAGGGGGTTATATTACAAAGGAACAGGTGAGCATAGCTTCATCCATGGGGCTGTAGCAAGACACACCCATGCACGAGACATGGACCCTCGCACCCAAGAAGGGTAGGGAAAGCTCTGTCACATTTCTGCGACTGAGTGCCTCAGCACCCAGCCGGGGAGTGTGACCCAGTCACGTGTAAGGTTGGTCTCCCACACCTGGTGGTAATAATAATAATAATGCCAAAGCAAGGCTCGGCAACTTAGCAAGATCCTGTCTCAAAAGAAAAATAAAATAGGGCTGGGCTGTATGTAGCTCAGTGGCAGCGCACTTGCCTGGCACGTGTGAAGCGTTGGGTTCAATCTCAGCACCACATAAAAATAAAATAAAGATCCATCAAAATATATTTAAAATAAAATAAAGGGGGCTGGGCTGCAGCTCAGTGCTTGCCTGGGTGGGGAGCAGAGCCCAGGGTCCACTCCCGGAGCTCCTTTAACCCAGCAGAGGATGCCAACCATCTCAACAGGGACCATGAGAGCAAGCTGAGCCCGTTTAGCTTCAGTTTTTCCAAGGGAACCCGGTGTGCGCCCCTTGGAGCAGGTCGACTGCCCCGTGTGCACAGCACCTGTGGTTGGTGGCCACCGCTGTGTGCAGCGCCCTGGGAACGGTGGCAGACAGCCGGATCTGAGTGCCGCTGTGAGATTTCCACGCGGCGCAGACTGATCCCTTGTTTTCTGTCCACTGTGTCCTCTCGACTCCCCCAGGCCTGTCCCCCACCATCCACCTGGCCGTTTTCCATGTGTTGCTGGTCCTGGGGGAGGTCAGGTCCTTCAGGCAAGGTGGCCTCCTGGGGTCCAATAACCTGGCGTCTCTGTCACCTGCAGAACCTCATTGGGGCCATGGACGAGCTGCTGAAAGCCCCTGGGGATGTGGAGGACATTGCCCTGCCTGTCCGGCACCAGGTGGCCACGCAGTTGCTCCTGGGCCTGGAGCAATCTCTGAGGACCCTGGCGGAGTCTCTGCCTGAAGGCCCCTTCACCTACCGTTCCCCCTCAGACACAGGTGAGGCTTCCTCCGCCCTCTCCAGCCTCCGCCCGGCGGTACTCCAGGTCCCCAGTCACCGGCCCTCTCTCCTCAGAGCTGTCCCTGATGAACCAGAAGCCAGGGAATGGAAATGTCACTTTGGGCCAGAGCCACGCACGGATCCACCTAGACTGGGCCACAGCAACTGGAGCCGGGAACTCCAGCACAGGTGGGGTCCCCAGAGGAGCCGCGGGGGGGGGGGGGGGGGGGGGGGGGGGGGGGGGGGGGCGGGGGGGGGGGGGGAGGCTGGGCAGGTCTAGAACGTGGGCGGCTCCGGGCCGCGGGGGGTGGCCAGGTCTGGACTGGGGTGTCCTGGGCCGGAGGTGGGGCGGAAGGAGAGGCATGGAGCACGTCTGTCCCCAGGCACCACTGTGGTGGGCATCCTGTCCAACCCGAACATGGGGAAGCTGCTGGTCAACGCCTCCCTGGTTCTGGACCCCGAGAAGGAAGAGGAGGTGCAGAAGGCCCACGAAGGCCCCTTCCGGGGCGCGCGCATCCAGATCCTCTCGCCTGTCAACTCCGTCTTTCTGACCAACAACGACACTGAGAAGCTCGCCTCCCCTGTGACCTTCGCCTTCTCCCACGATGTGAGTCCACAGGTGGGAGGAGGGGACGGGTCCTGCCGCTCACTCCACAGCCAAACTCCCCGCAGTGCCCTCGTTCCCCCACCTCCAGCCACCTGCTTCCTTCTCACATGTACCTCAGGACCTTTGCTCTTGCTGAGGCCCTGCCTGGGACACTTCCTCTATGGAACCCAGTCCTTTAACTCTTTCTAGTCTTTGCTCAAATATCACCTTCTCATTGGTCCTCCCTGACCTCCTTATTTAAAATCAAAACGCATGGGCTGGGGGCATGGCTTCATGGCAGAGTGCTTGCCTAGCACGTGCAAGGCCTGAGCTTCATCCCAGCATGGGAGGGGGGACTTAGTAGGCCTACGATTTATTCATTATTTTTAAAAATTATGACATAATTTTTAAGCTGCAAAATAATATCCTATTTATTGATTTATTTTGAATTTGTATCTGTACTTGGGCACAGTCTTTATTTTATTTTTTTGTTTTTATTTTGTGGTGTTGAGCATTGAATATAGTTCTCACATACTCGAGGCAAGTGCTTTGCCACTCAGCCACAACCCCAGCCCAATATCCTATTTATTTTTTAAAATTTTTTATTAGTTCTTTTTAGTTGTAGATGACACTAGAGTGTATTTTGACATATTATAAATACATGGAGTATAACTTCCCATTCTCCTGGTTGTTCAAGATGTGGAGTTTCACTGGTGACGTATTCATGTATGAACACAGGAAAGTTACGTCCCATTCATTCTGTCTTTTCTATTCCCATTCCCCCTCCCTTCCCTTCATTCCCCTTTGTCTAATCCAATGAACTTCTATTCTTGCCCCCCCCATCCTTATTGTGTGTTAGCATCCACGTATCAGAGAGAATATTCAGACTTTGTTTTTTTGGGTATTGGCTTATTTCACTTAGCATGATAGTCTCCAGTTTCACCCATTTACCAGCAAATGTCACAGTTATTCTTCTTTATGGCTGAGTAATATTTCATTGTATATACATACCACATTTTCTTTATCCGTTCATCTGTTGAAGGGCACCTAGGTTGACTCCATAGCTTAGCTATTGTGAATTGAGCTGCTGTAAACATTGATGTGGCTGTGTCACTGTTGTATGCTGATTTTAAGTTCTTTGGGTATAAACCAAGGAGTGGGATAACTGGGTCAAATGGTGGTTCCAAGTTTTCTGAGGAATCTCCATACTGCTTTCCAGAGTGGTTGCACTAATTTGCAGTGCCACCAGCAGTGTATGAGTGTGTCTTTTTCCCCACATCCTTGCCAACATTTATTGTTACTTGTGTTCTTGATGATTGCCATTCTGACTGGAGTGAGGTGAAATCTCAGTGTAGTTTTAGTTTCCATTTCTCTAATTTCTAGAGATGTTGAACATTTTTTAAATATTTGTTGACCGATTGTATTCCTTCTGTGAAGTGTCTCTTCAGTTCCTTAGCCTGTGTATTGACTGGGTTATTTGTTTTTTTGGTGTTGAGTTATTTGTCTGTCCTGGAGGTTAATGCTCTATCTGAGGTGCAGGTGGTATAGGGTTTGTCTTCACATTCTTGATAGTTTCCTTTGCTGTGAAGAAGCTTTTTAGTTGGATACCATCCCACTTATTGATTCTGGATTTTACTTCTTGTGCTTTAGGAGTCTTGTTGAGGAAGTCAGTTTCTAGGCTGACATGATGGAGAGTTGGGCCTACTTTTTCTTCTGGTAGGTGCAGGGTCTCTGGCCTAATGCCTTGACTCACTTTGAGTTGAGTTTGGGGCAGGTGAGAGACAGGGGTCTGATTTCATTTTGTTACCTATGGATTTCCAGTTTTCCCAGCACCACTGTGGAAGAGGCTGTCTTTTCTCCAATGTACGTTTTTGTTACTTTGTCTGGTACGAGGTAACTGTGTTCATGTGGGGTTGTCTCTGTGTCTTGATTCGGTACCGTGGTCTTCATGTCTGCGCCGTTCTTGTTACTGTAGCTCTGCCGTGTAGGTCAAGGCCTGGCCCTGGGCCCCCGCTTCCCTCTTCTCACTGAGCACTGCTCTGGCTGTTCTGAGGCCTATGATCTGTTGACCGTCTCCTTCACCATCACGTCATTTATTGTTACTTGTGTTCTTGATGACTGCCATTCTGACTGGAGTGAGGTGAAATCTCAGTGTAGTTTTAATTTGCATTTCTCTAGTTTCTAGAGATGTTGAACTTTTTTTTTTTTTTTTCAATATTAGTTGACCGGTTGTATTTCTTCTGTGAAGTGCAGGGACTTGCATCTGCCTTTTTCATTGTTATGTGCCCAAGCCTGGGGCACACAGTAGGTGCTTAGTAAACACTTGTCCAATGAAAAGCAGACTACTTGGCTTAAGCCCCGGACCCAAGTGAGCACCAGGCCAACCTCTCTGCTCACCCCCTCTGCCCACAGGGGGAGATATCCGGGAAGCGTAGAGAGGTGATCTGTGCCTTCTGGAAGATTGACAGTAACAAGAGTGGACACTGGGATACCACCGGCTGCTGGAAGCTGGGCAGCGGGGATAACACCACCACCTGCCAATGCAACCACTTGAGTAGCTTTGCCATCCTCATGGCCCACTACGACATACAGGTAAGCGGCGGAGGACACCCTCAAAAGGCCACAGGTGCTGGCACAGTGGGGCACGTCTGTAATCCCAGGGACTTGGGAATCTGAGGCAAAAGGATCACAAGCTTGAGGCCAGCCTCAGCAACTAACCAAGGACCTAAACAACTTAGTAAGACCCTGTCTCAAAATTTTAAAAAAGGGTGGGGGGCGGGGCTGGGGCTGTGACTCAGTGGTTAAGTGGCTATGGGTTCAATACCCAGCACCAAACAAAAGCAGGGCTGAAGTAGTTGAATGGTAGAGCACCCCAGGTTCAATTTCCAGTGCTGCCAAGAAAAGGGCCCACAGGTGTCAAGGTCAGTTTAGGCAAGACAGTCAGCTGGTTCTCCATGGTACATTCCATCTGGTTGTTCAAATATGTCCCTGTCCCTATGGTTGCATAGTCAAGTGGCCCTATGCCACGCCCTCTGTCACCCTTTCTTGGACTTCATGACCCAGCAGCTGTGCTGCTTGGCACAGCCCTACTGCAGCCAGTGCCCCTCTGCCTGTCGAACTGGCACCAGTTGTGAAATGTTGCTAAAAAATCCCCACGTAGCCATTCGGGAGGCTGGGGCAGGAGGGTTGCAAGTTCGAGGCCAGCCTCAGCAACTAACCAAGGCCGTGAGCAACTTAGCAAGACCCTGTCTCAAAAAATAAAAAGGGCTGGGGGTGTGGCTTAGTAGTAGAACCCCTCTGGGTTCCCAAAAAACAAAACAAAAACCTCCCCACATAGAACACTCCAGGGTAGCACAGTTTTCTAAATGTGGCCTTAGGGAGGATCCATAGGTAGCTGGGCCAAAGTCACCCAAAATTAGCCAGACAGTGGGGGCTGGGGTCCAAGCCAGAGGCCCAGCAAGTACTACCCCGTGGATGGGGTGTGGCCCTCGGGCCCTGAAGGGACTCCGCCCACCCATCCCGCTCCTAGGACTGGAAGCTGGAGCTGATCACCAAGGTGGGACTGTCGCTGTCGCTCGTCTGCCTTCTGCTGTGCATCCTCACCTTCCTGCTGGTGCGGCCCATCCAGAGCTCTCGCACCACCGTGCACCTGCACCTCTGCGTCTGCCTGTTCGTGGGCTCCGCCATCTTCCTGGCGGGCATCGAAAAGGAAACCCCAGACGGCGAGGTGAGGCCTGCCCCGCCCTCACCTGCGGTGGGGTTGGGAGACCCAGAAGCGGTGAGCCCCGCCCTCCCCTGGGACCCCCAGGCGCCTGCCGCCGCGGTCTTGGCGAAGGGCGCCCGGCCTTGGAGGCACGTGCCACCCTCAGGCCCACCCGCCAAGGGCGCTGTCAGAGGCGACCCGGAAGCGCCTGGCCACGCCCCCTGGCTCGGGGAGGGGCTCGGGCGACGCGGTCCCGCCCCTCTCTGACGTCATCTGGTCCCTCCTCTGCTCCCGCAGGCGGGGCCGCGCTGCCGCCTGGTGGCCGGGCTGCTGCACTACTGCTTCCTGGCCGCCTTCTGTTGGATGAGCCTCGAGGGCCTGGTGCTGTACTTCCTCGTGGTGCGCGTGTTCCATGGCCAGGGCCTGAGCACACGCTGGCTCTGCCTGATCGGCTACGGCGTGCCCCTGCTCATCGTGGCCATCTCGGCGGCCACCGCGGCGGCCACCGCCAGCGAGGGCTACGTCGGCGAGACCTAGTGAGTATGCTGGATGGGGCAAAGGCGGGGGCTGGGGTGCCAGGTGACAGCACCCCAGTTCCGTGCCCCTCTGGGCTCTGATGGGTCCCCTCCCCTCTCCCAGCTGCTGGTTGAGCAAAAAGCATGGGTTTTTCTGGAGCTTCGTAGGACCCCTGGCCTTCATCATTTTGGTAAGTGCCCCACTTTTTACAGAAAGCCTGAGTGACAGGGTCCCCACCTGCACCCCAATTCCCAAGACCAGCTCTCCCCACCCTCTCATCCACAATCTGTACCCCCCACCCAGTGCAATGCTGTGATCTTCGTGATTACCGTCTGGAGGCTCACTCAGAAGTTTTCTGAAATCAACCCAGACCTGAAGAAATTACGGAAGGCACGGTGAGATGGCTGGAATCACGCGGAGGGGCTGGGACCTGAGGGGCCTGGAGGTGCAGGTTGTGGGCAGAGATAAGGGGCTGGGGTGAAGGGAGTGCGGGATGGAGGCCCCCATCAGTATCTGTCCCTCTCTCCCCTGCAGGGTGCTGACTGTCACAGCCATTGCCCAGCTCTTTGTGTTGGGCTGCACCTGGGTCTTTGGCTTGTTCCTCTTTGAACCCTACAGCACGGTGCTGACCTACATCTTCACCATCCTCAACTGCCTGCAGGGACTTTTCCTCTATGTCCTGCTCTGCCTTCTCAACAAGAAGGTGGGCCGGCAGGGGAGGCTGTGGGAGGAGCTATGCCTCAGTCCTGGGGTGGCCTCTCCCCTGACCTGGCACCTTGGGCTTGCAGGTGAGGGAAGAGTACCGCAAGTGGGCCTGCATGGTTGCTGGGAGCAAGTACTCAGAGTTTGCCTCTTCCACAACTGGCACCAGCCACAATCAGACTCGGGTAAGGGCCTGTGCCTGAGGCAGGGTACTTGGGAAGGCACCTGGTCAGGGGTCGAGTCCTCACAGGCTCCTCTCTCCCCAGGAGCTCAGGCCATCGGAGTCTGGTATGTAAAGGCAAGGATCACGCCAAGCCAGTGACTCCTGCACGTGCTGAAGGCTACCCTCCTGCCGCTGTCCTCCCACCTTGGGCCCCATTGCAGTACAGCAGGCCACAGCTCTAGTCTCACACTCAACCCCAGAACAGGGGGGAGCTGCCACCGGTCCTGCTTCTGACCATCTCTGTGCCCCATGAAAGCTGTGGGGACAGAAACTGGCCCAGGGTTGCAACCCACTGCTCTAGCACATACTGCCAGTCCTGAGGACAGACTGCAGACCCTGGTGCCCTTTACCCTCAGCTCTTTGCCACAGAACAGAAGGGGCCAGGATGCTGGGTTCACTTGCCTATTAAGCCAAGACTGAAGTCAGAGGCAGAGAAGCTGGCTGCCGCTGACGCTCACGGTACAGAGGCCTGGCTGCCCACCTGCAGGGGCAGAGGGGTCTCCCTGTTGTGAAGGTTGGATGTTGTGTAATGTCTTTTTATCTGTGTAAATCTCTCAGTGTTAACACTTAAAAAAATTAAATATCATGATACAGAGGTGGCGCTGCTCATTGGCCAGGCCGTGTCCATGAAATGCTGACAGACGATAAAGAAACAGATGGGGTGGGAGTCAGGCTTCCATAATAAAAATTTATTCTTACACAAATCTACAGCTTTTGAACAGTAAAAAGAGACACCCATCTGTTGCCTAGAAAGAGGACATGAAGCAGCACGTGGGAAGCAGGGCGGCTGGGTCTTCAAGGCGCGTGGTTACCGGCTCTGCTCGACTGCAAAGACAATGGGGGAGGCAGTGAGGGAGAGGTCCTCTGCCCCGGACCTGCATCCCCAAATGCTGGCCCTGCCCCAGCCACTTACTGTATGTGGAGATATCGATTTCTTCCGGAAGCTCAGCCACATTCACTTCAAACCGGTCCTGGACATCATTGAGAATTTTGGCATCATTTTCATCCGACACAAAAGTGATGGCCAGGCCTTTGGTACCAAAGCGACCTGCGCGGGCCACCTGCAGGGAGGCAGGAACAGGGTCAGGCCATAGACACGCACTCAGGGTTTGATGATGAGCAAAGCCAGGTGCCCACCCCACTGTCACCCTGGGAGGAGAACCTCTTACCCGGTGGAGGTAGGTGTCCGAGTCCTCGGGCATGTCATAGTTGAAGACGATGTTGACGCGCTCAATATCCATCCCTCGGCCAAAGAGATTGGTGGCCACCAAGATCCGCCGCTGGAAGTCCTTGAACTGCTGGTAGCGTGACAGACTGGGTGCAGGAGAAATAAGTGGAGGCTGTCAGACACGGGCTCCTGGGCGCTGCTCCCTCTGGCCACGGCAGGTGGCGTGCACTCACCGCTCCTCCTGGGCCATGCCCCGGTGAATGGCGATGGCTGGGAAGTTCTGCTCCACAAGGAGCTGGGCCAGGGCCATGCAGCGCTGCACAGATTTGACGAAGATCACCACCTGTAGGAGAGGCAGCGGTTAGGCCTGGCCGGGTACCCGCTCCTGAGGCCCAAAGCCCAGGACAGGCTGTGGGGGCATCACCTGGTTAAACTCCAGCACATCCAGGAGGTCAAAGAGCTTTCGGTTCTTCTCGCTGTCCTTGAGCTTGACATAGTACTGCTGCAGCCCATGCAGCGTGAGCTTGGTCTCGTCGTCCACAAACACCTCCATGGGCTGTGTGGGAAGGGAAGCAGGAAGGGGCGAGCGGGGCTCACTTCTGGGCGTCTCGCCTGCCCAGAACCTTCCAGGGAGTGGCTCCTTTGCAGCGATGCTTCCCAGAGGGCCTGCTGTACCCAACCTCAGAAACAATTCTCTACCAAAAGCTGGATGTGAGCTCTGGTCTGGCTCAGGCGTGGACCACACTCGACTCTCAGTGTGACAAAACAGGGGAAAGAAGGAGCCTCAGCCGGCCTCCCAGCATCCTTCCAGCCGTGAGGGCAGTGTGGGTGTCGTGGAGCGGCCCCAGGCCCCTGGGGAGGGCTGAAGCTGCTGCGCTGAGGTCTCAGCCACCACGGGCAGGCCGGGGCGTCACCCTACTCACATCCTGCATGAACTTCCTGCAGACTGGCCGGATCTCCTTGCTCAGGGTGGCACTGAACATCATGCACTGCTTCTCATGAGGCGTTAGGCGGAAGATCTCCTGCACATCCCGCCGCATGTCTGGGTGGGGAAGGCAAGAACCAGGGGGGCATGAGTATCTGCCAGACCACCAGCCCAGCCCAGTCAGTCCCAGCCCCTCCCACCTGTGTCAGGGAGCCACTGGCACCATGACGAGGACAGAGGGAGTCAAGGGAGTGGCAGGAGGGAGAGTCCCAGGTGCCTGAGGGGCTGGACTCAGGGGAGAGTGAGCGCAGGCGCGGGAGGAACTGCAGTCGACTTACACGCTGCCAGAGCGGAGCAGCTGTGCCAATGCGCCTCGGGCCGCGCTTCGGGGAGGGGAGCCTGAGGCAGAGATAGCCGCTGGGGTGAGAGCCGTAGCTGCTCCCAGGACACAAGCCCTTCTCCCACGGGTCCTGCCACAGCTGACTAAGGGCAGGTGGCACTCAGGACTAACCCAACAGGTAGCAGAAGCCGCTCTGCTCCTCCAGGTGCATGTAGGCATGCGCATGTGCCCAGGAAGGGCTAGCAGCTCATTCGGGCACAGTGGTCCCATTGAGCTTGGCTCAGAAGCAGCACGTCCCACTCTGCCAGCACAGAACTTCCCCTAGAGCCATTTACCAGAGGCCTGTGTTCTGGCCATATCCATGTGACCCACTCTGGGACCCTTAGAAACTGCCACAACCCACTTAGAAACTGACTCTGGAGTCTGGGGCCCTGCAAGGGTGGGAGGTGTGGCGGGCGGGCCCCAGGTAGCCCCACAGGCTTGGTAGGGACACTCACCCAGCTGCTCCAGCATCTTGTCACACTCGTCCAACACAAAGTGCTTCACGTTTTTTAAGTTGAGGCTCCTGTTCCGCACGAGGGCCAGGATCCTGCCTGGTGTCCCCACCACTACGTGGGGACAATTCTTCTTCAACACTTCTTCATCTTTCTTGATGGAGAGGCCCCCAAAGAACACAGACACCTACAGGCATGAAGAGAAAGTTGCTTCCACATATCTGGGGCTGTCCATACTCACACGCCATCCTTGGTCTGGAGCGCTCAGGCCCCAGCAGTCCCAAGAGTGCCCAACACCCCAGCCTTGGTGCCTCAGAACCCAGGGACAAAGACCTGAGAGCCCAGTGCCAGTGAAAGGCAGCCCCAGGCTGGGATGGGCACAGGCCCCTAGAGGCCATGCATAATTCATCAGGCTTTTAAAGGAGCATAAACCACCGCAAACCTCAAAGGCAGCTGCTGCAGCCAAGCTTGGTAAATGCTGGCTGGCCCAGGGCTGGGGCCAGCGAGGCTACAGAGACCATGGGGCACCCTGCTTGCTTGTCTGAGGCTCACCTTGACACTGGGCATGTATTTGGAGAAGCGCTCATACTCCTTGCTGATTTGGAAGGCCAACTCCCTCGTATGGCACATGACCAGGACTGTCACCTGGGGAATGAATATGTAAGAAATCCTTGAGGAAGGCAGCCTAAATCCTCCCTCTCCAAAGCTCATACCCACCACACCTAACTGGTCCCCACCTGACAGGGCACCAGCCACACCTCAGTGTCCTACACCTCAGGCCACTTGAAGGCCCAGTCCAAATGCCTTGCCTCCATCCACCTTCTCACAGCCCTTCACTGCAGCAAAACTTCTCACAGCCTAATCTTTTGACAATAGGACCCGTAACAAAGCCAGACGGAGAAGGGACTGGGTAAAGGTAGAACCTGCCCACCCAGGGTGACAGAGGCTCCAAGTTAACAGCATCCTGCCTCTGCTCGAGCTGCCCCTGCCTTCCCGCTCATGTCAAACACTGGTCACACCAGTCTTCCACCAAGACTCCATCCTTCAGGACTTGCCCCAAGACAAGGGTACAGGTCCCAACACACCGCACAAGGTTATAAAACCTGGCATGACTCTTGTTTGTTCTGTTTTGCTGCTGAGGATGGAACCCAGGGCCTCAACACATGCTGGCCAAATGTGCTGCAATTGAACTACACCCAGCACCCCCTGTATTATTCTTAAGATCAAAACACCAGAATTCACCCAAGTTATCCCCCAGATAATGGAACACAATGTTAATGACATGAGGTCGCCAGGCCTATCATCAGGAACAGCAGGAACAACCAGACAGGGCAATTCTACCTCCCAAAGCATAAGCTACGAGGGAAGCACACACTGAAACAGCAGCAATATCTCTGAGTGGTTTATGAATTGCAGGTACCTTCCAGTTCTGCCTTACTGGCTTTTTAAATTTTAACTACTTAATTTCAAAAAGCCTACAAAAAGAATGTGGGAGCATAATTTTACCAAGGGGACCTGGGGCTCTGCTGCCCCAGGCAGTCTGCACCTGGAAGCAGCACTCACCTGTCCATTAACAGGCTCGATCTGCTGCAGAGTAGCCAGCACGAAGACAGCCGTCTTGCCCATCCCAGACTTGGCCTGGCACAGGACGTCCATGCCCAGGATGGCCTGGGGGATACACTCATGCTGGACTGAGGAAGAAGGAGCATGTGAGTGACCAGAAAACAGGGCATTCCTTCTCTACAGATTCCTGGGAAGGTGACTAAGGGGACCCCAGATGGGGCAACCTCAGGTCAATCCTGGGCCAGACCACAGACATCTGCCTGTCTGGGGTATTCCCCCAGTTAGAGCAGACTGCCATGCTGCAGAATCTCCCAGGACAACTGCACAGCTGACCCACAGGGAAAGCAAACCCTCCCTCATCCAGGACACGCTAGAGGTTACGCTCCTCTGAGCAGGCAAAGCTGGTTTTGGGGAGATGAGCTGGGGCGGTGGGTGAACACCACCAGGGAGGCCTACCCTCGGATGGGTGTTCAAAACCACAGTCCACTATGGCCCTCAGGAGCTCTGGCTTCAGCAAAAAGTCTCGGAAGCCAGAGCTATGGATGGAGACGTAGGACCCCTTGACGTCTTTCTTAGGTGGAGCTGGAGTACTCTCTGGAGGAGCCTGGGGCTCTTCATCTTCTTCATAATCCAAGAGCTCGTTCTCCACATCCTGCTCTGCCATGGTACTGAGAACAGAAGAGAGAGGAAGGGCCAAAGGAAGTGACAAAGTGTAGGCAGGACAATCTACCCAGCAAGGGAGACCATGGCCTGGCAGCCATAAGCTGTTGACACAGACCCAAAAGAGGGCTTCATGGGAGGGCAAGCCCCATGAGGTGGCACAGAAAGTTAATGGAGCGCTGGGCATGGTGGTGCAGGCCTGTAATCCCAAGACTCAGGAGGCTGAGACAGGAGGATTGTAAGTTCAAGGCCAGCCTCAGCAACTTGGAAGAAACCCTAAGTATCTTTTTAAAAAAATTTTTTTAGTTGTCAACTTTATTTTTATGTGGTGCTGAGGATCGAACCCAGTGCCTCACAATGTAGGTGAGTGCTCTACCTCTGAGGGGCAACCCCGGCCCTGCCTCAAGCATCTTAACAAGAGCCTGTCTCAAAAAATAAAAAGCAAGCCACCGACAGAGCTGTAACTTCACCCTCAGATCCCTTTTTGCCTCAACATGTGCCACCAGCTCCACCTGTGCAATACCACCCAGCTTCAGCCCATGGTTCCCACTCCCACCACCCTCCTCCAAGCTACCAGGTCTCTCCTGATGTCCTCACATGCCCATCAACATCCTCCAGCTCCAAGGGCTCCCATGGCACCCAGTGAAATCCCAATTCTGCTCCACAGTCCTCACAACCCTCCGGGTCCAGCCCCTCCCTACCATATTGCACCCCACCCTTGCTCTGTTCAGCTGCGCAGACTCACAGAGCCCCTATGCCAAGCCTTCAAGGACTGGGGGAACATTCTGCACAAAAACATCATTCTCAACATTCAAGTCTCAGTTCTTGAGACTTGTTCAAGACCTGCTTGGATCAATGAGCCCAAAGGAATCCCCCTTCCCCCCTCGCTCAAGGACCCCAGACACCTGCAGGTGTAGCTGCCCAGATGCTGGAGAAAACTGAGGATGTGGGGTGGGGTTGTGGCTCACAGGTAGAGCGCTCGCCTGGCATGTGTAAGGCACTGGGTTTGAGCCTCAGCACCACATAAAATAAAGATGTTGTATCCACCTATAATTAAAAATAAATATTTAAAAAAAGAAAACTAAGGATGTGAGGAAGCAAGAAGCGCCTGCCCAGCTCTGGTGTCTTCTGCTACCTGCGGCCCACCCAGGGGAATAACTGCTTTCATGAAAAGGCCTCCCACTAGGCGCTGGCCAATCAAAGAGCTGAGATGGTAAATGGAATTAATACAAAGTTCACTCATCTCCTTGCTTTATCTAGCAACAGACACTAAGTGCCAGGGACCCAACTGTGAATATGCTTTTGTTCCCTCCCTCCCCCACCCCCCACGGCAGCCTCCAAGGTGAGACAGTGCTTCTTCCTGGGCCAACACACTAAGGGTGCTAGGTGGACTTTATCCAGCCCTACTGTTTTAACCATTTCTATGCTGATGGCCCCTTCCCTAAACAACAGACCCAGTCACCAGGTGTCACTTTCACATCCTTGGGTGACACTAAAAGTTGAACTCAAAATGCCCAGAGCAAAATTCTCCATTTCCCCCCTGAAGACTTGCATCCCCATCTACAAAACAATTCCATTCTCTGAAGGAATCTCGTCTTCTCTTTCTCCCTCAACCTCCTTCTCTGATCAGCCAAGGAATCCCTCCACCACATCCATCCAGGGCCCCACCCGTGCTAGGTAGGTGCTACTTCTCACTCATGCTACTACACTTACCCCAAGCTGCCATGCTGTTTTTAAAATTAGAAAAGCTTTACAGAGATATTCATGTGTTACAGAACTCAAAAGTACACAATTCAGTGGATTTTAGCACAAAGACATGTGTCACCACTACCAGTCAAGTTTAGAATGCTTCATCAGCTCAAAAAAGCCTCTGTACCATCAGAGGCTTCAGCCACCATCCCCCATCCCAGAAAATCACTAATCTCTTGTCTCTACAGAGTTGCCTGTTTTGGACACTTCACATTAAAAGGCTCATACAACATATGGCCTTGTGTCTGGCTTTCTTCACTAAGCATCAAGTTCTCGAAGTTCACCCACTTTATAGCATGGATCAGTGCTTCACTCCTTTTTATAGCCATATAGTATTCCCTCGTGTAGGCACATTAACACATCTTTGTTATCTGGGTGCCATCACTTCTTGGCTGGACTATGCCAAAGGCCTCCTCAGTGGCTCCCTGTTCCCATCCCCTTCTACCCAAAACGGTCAAAGGGAGTCTGTTAAAGCTAAGTTGGGCCTGGCATGTCACTATGCTGCTCAGAACCTGTCACAGGCTTCCACTGTGCTCAGATAACACTCAAGTCAGCACCACAGCCCCCTCTCCATGCTGACTCTCTCACCTACTCACCTCACCAGCCTTGCTGCATCTCAAACACACCTGCCTCAGCACTTGCACTTGCTATCTCTGGCGCCTGGAATAGTAAAGAACTCCCGTGCCCGATACTTCTTTTGGACCCCCATTGCCCCAAAAGGGCAGTTCCTTACAGCCCCAACCTAAAAAGCACCCCCTCCAGTCAGTCCCGCCCTGTCTGGACTGGCACAGAGCAGATAAGCACTCAAAAGCAATGGCTGAATGAATGGAACAAGAATCAGGTCTTAAGGCAGAGTGTGCGAGTCTCTGAATCTGGAAGCAATCTGATACCAACCCTAAGAATTCTTACTGGCAAAGACAGGAGGGGTCCATTTTCCAAGCACCAGAGAAAAGACCAAGAGCCAAGAAAGAACAGGAGCCAAAAAAGATCCGTCCAAAAAGCACCAGATCTTTTGGGGTATGAAGAACAACTGGCTGGATGAAGTACAGGCAGCAGACAAAGCTGGAAGAGCTGGTCAGGCCCAGGGCACTTAAGCTTAATTTACTAAGCAATAGGGAATCGCTGATTAGGTTTCAGAGTTGAGTGAGTCAATCAGGATTTACCCAAGAGGAATTTACTCCACAGACGCAGAGGAGGCTGACACCAAGAGCCAGGAAAACCAGTCACCAAATGGAAGGGAATCAAAGCGGGAGGGGGGCTGGCTAAGTAAGCAAGAAGAGGAGACCGCGGGACACCAAACAGGTCAGAGACAGGCATCACCTGGGCAACCCACAGATGGAAAAGAACCAGAGTTACCTCCTCTGACTTCCAAATCTGGGTGGCCAAGAGACGGCGTGTTTAAAATACACAGACCAAGCCAAGTTGTTTGGGTTGATGTGGAGACATATTCGCAGCACAAATTTTTGCAGAAGGGGCGAGGGATGTAGCCCAGTGGTGGAGCGTTTTCCAAGCCAGCGCGAGGTCTTGGGTTCCAACTCCGGACCGAGAGAGGAAGGGGGGGAAAAAGGCAACTCCCAGAAGTGGCTGGCCAGAGTCCTATGCTCGAAACAAATCGGGTCATAAGGCAGGATTTGGTGTGGTCTAACAGCCCAGAAAGGCCGGCCGCGACAGCTGAGGTCCCAGGAGCAGCAGGGCTTGGAAGCTGACACCGGGGTAAATGACAACCCAGACGTGCCACGCGCACCCATCTGCCCTCCATTGTCCCCAGATAGGCTTTTCACCCCGGCGCTCATTCCCTACTGGGAACTTCTAATTTCAAAAGAAGATGATTTCTGCCCCAAGTGTCTGGAACTCGAGTCCCGCTGATGAAGGGGGCAAGAACAAGGTGCAGTGGGGGAGGGGGACGCCCTTCGGACCCGGAGAAACCAGTCCCGTCTGGCAGCTCTGGCTTCTCCCACCGCGGCCTCAAACTCCGGTGTAGCCCCCTCAGTCTCTCCCACAAAAGGCCCCAAGCCGCCCCGGGGTCTACTCTCTCGCCCAACTCGGGCCCAGCCCGCAGACAGACCGCCATGACACCCCCTCCCGGAAGCCGGCCCGCGCCCTGCGCGCCAACGGCCGGCCCGGTCCTGGCGCATGCGCCCCGGCGCCCAACGGCCACCACCTCGCGCTCCGGGAGCCCCAACCGCCCCGCCCCCCCTCCTGCTCCCCTTCAACCCGCGGTATCTGCTCTCGACCGTTTATCCACAGGTCCGACGTCCCCGCACCGCGGCCCCGCGCCCCCGGCGCCGCCGCCTACCTGGGTCTCCGTTCGCCTCCGCGTGCTACGAGGAGAGCCGCCTGACTCCGGTTACCCAGCACGCGCCGCGACACGAGCTGCGGCGCTTCCTGCCTCCTCAGTAAGACTGTGGTTCTGCTCACAGGACAGCTTGCTTTTCAGTCAAGAGAAGCGGAAGTGGTGATTGGATAATAAGGAAGGTGTCAGGAGGCTATTGGTGGAGAGGAGAAAAGAGGGCGTGCCTCAAGCCTCCGCTTCATTGGTCAATCTGAAAGTAGGCGCGCCAAAATGAGATCTACGCCGGGCGGCGCCCTGTCATGTGATCTGGGTTCCCTCCTCCATGGGTGCCGCCATGTTTAGTACTGGCAACTGAAGGACAGATAATTAGCCCTTGACATGTGCCCCACCCTTTAGAATCGTGGCCTCCGTACTTGACGCTAAATCCAGTGCTCCCGGAGTTAGCATTGCTCGCCCGCGTGGGGGCCCTCCACCCTGGAGGCTCTGAAAGGACTCCAAGGAGGCCTGGAGGCTTCCAGTGACTATTCTTGTTTGTTCTTGAGTTTAACAGAACTAGAATCCTGCAATAGGTTTGTCTTTGGTGTCTGGCTTCTTTAGCTTTTTTTGTGTGTGCCAGGGATTGAACCCAGAGGCGCTTACACTGCCACATTCCCAGGCCTTTTTCTGTTTTTATTTAGAGTCAGGGATCGCCGACTTGCTGAAGCTGGCTTTGAACTCACAATCCTCCTACCTCAGCCTCCTCAGCCCCAGGGGAGGGCTGTGTTGTGGTGTGCGCCACCACGCCTGCCTGGCTTAGCTTCTTTTGCTTAGCAAAATGTCCATATGAGCGCAAATTGCTGGGCATACCAGCAGTTTGTTTTGTTTTCTCTCGTGGAGTAGTATTTATTGTGTGGCTATATTACAATAGAGCCAATATACTTTTTTCCAATCCTCTGTTAATGATCAATTGGTTGTTATTCATTTTGTTTATTTGAACAACACAAAGCCTTGCGCTGCCAGGCAAGCATACTGACATTGAGCTGCACCCTGAGCCCCTGTTTTCCCTGCTGAGACAGCGTTTTGTTGTTGCCCAGGATAGCCCTGCACCTCTGAGCTCAAGCCGTCCTTCTGCCTCAGCCTCCTCAGTATCTGGGAACATTAGGCGAGTTACCACCACATCTCATTTGGCCGGTGTTAATGAAGTTTGTACAAGTACCTTTGTGAACAGATTTTTCCGGAGTCAAATTCCTAGGAGTAGAAAGGTAGACCACATACCATTGTGTATGCAAGATTTGGGTTTAGTAGATTTACCACCCCCCAATACTGGGGATTGAACTCAGCAATGGGGATTGAACCCGGGTTGATCTGCCACTAAACTACATCCCCATCCCTTTTTAAAAATTTTGAGACAGGGCTGGGGAAGCTGGAGCAGGAGGATCTCACATTCAAAGCCAATCTCAGCAATTTAGCAAGAGCCTGTCTCAAATAAAAAGGACTGGTAATGTGCCTCAGTGTTTAAATGCCCTGGGTTCAATTCCCTGTTCACCTTCCACCACCACCAATACTGCATTAACACATTGTCTTTTCCTTTTGTTTTGTTTTTTATGTTACTGGGGATAGAACCCAGGGAAGCTTTATGACTGAGCTACATTCTCCAGTCCTATTTTAAATTTTTGAAACAGGGTCTTGCTAAATTGCTCACACTGGCGCCTGCAGCTTGCCATCTTCCTGAGTAGCTAGGATTTCTGGCATATGCCACCATGTCCAGCACACATGGTGCATTTTGAATTTTATGCCCTAAGCCAGTTTCTCACTTCACCCCTAGTCCTGGGCTTAGGTGCTAGCCCTTATCCTGAGAAATCTAAACCTATCAACAGATTCCATCAAACGTTTAATCACCATGTGGAGCAAGTGAGGGGATGGAATTAGCATATTTTTTGCCAGATACATGGCCTGAAACCTAGAGAGGATTAATCCCAGGCCCAATGTCACACAGTTGGCAGAGATCCAAGCCAGGCTGTGTCCCTTTCTTAGGCTGTACCCTCTGAAGGTGGAGACAGAGGCTGAGGCCAAGTAATTTGGCTGACGATTTTTGGTTTGGTTTGGTTTGGTTTTGGTGTGCTAGGGGGGTCAAATCCAGTGCCTCATGCAGGCTAGGCAAGCACTCTACCACTGAGCCACATCCCCAAGGCCAAGTAACTTGGAAGCCTGGGGAAAATCAGTTCCCAGAGAGAGATGCCCCAGAGAAAGAGGTGGGAGGTGCACTTGGAGTAATTAGATCATCTGAAATGAGATTATAGAGGCTGAAGCTAGTTTAGTCCTGTTGAGAAGTCTAGGGAAACAGTGGCTCACCATCCATGCAGCCTGTGAGAAAGTTCTACAAAAAAAAAAAAACTTACAGGAAAGATCAGAGCCTCCTAAAATACACCCACCACCCAAGATTAGCAAATGTTAACATTTGTCATATTGGCTCGATCCACTTCAGAATGTTTTAAGATAGAAAAGACTTAAAACACACCCACCCAGAGAGCTAAAAAGAAAGACTGACAGTATTGATGGCTGGAGAGCCTACGGTGCTGGCAGAACCCTCACCCACTGCTGGAGGCTGGTGAACCAGCAAAACCACTTTGGAAAATTTCTGGGCAGCCTTCATGTTAGCCAAGAGGCCCCAAAGTGGCTGAGCATTGTTTTTTGAGGGTTTTGTTTTCTGTGGTGCCAGGGATAGAACCCAGTGCCTTGTACATGCTAGGCAAGAGCTCTGCTACAGAGCTGTACCTGCAGCCCCGGTTGGGCAGTTCCTAATAAGGATCACCAGGCATCTTAACCTCAGCACCCTTGACTTTTCTTTCAGCTTGGTGTTGGGGACTATCTTGTGTACTGTAGGATGTTGATCAACCTTCCTGGCCTCTGTATACCTGTGTTCCCTTCTAGTCATGATAACCAAAGATGTACCCAGACACTGTTCACAGCTCCCCCTAGAGGAAGGGGCAAAATCCTTCACACCCTGGGACCCACCCTGCTCCCCTTCGTTAAACAGACCTGTGTCATGGCCAAGCAGTCTTCCTAGGTGAGGACCTAACAATCAATGAAATGCTTTTGTTCACAAAAGACATGAGCAAGGATCATACTTTTATTCCTAATAGCCCCAAGCTAGAAATGACTCAAATGTCCGCATAAAAAGTGAATGGAGAAGCAGGGCCCGTGGTGCACACCTTCAGTCCTAGCTACTTGGGAGGCTGAGACAGGAGGATCACAGGTTTGAAGCCAATCTCAGCAACTTAGAGAGTCCCTGTCTTAAAATAAAAAACATAAAGGATTGGGGATATATCTGAGTGCCCCTGGGCTCAATCCACAGTACCCCAAACAACTAAATAAATAAATTAAAAAGCCCAAATGCATTGCATCTGTGCTGAGCATATACAGAATTTTTTCTTGTTATGATTCCCTAAACAATACAGTATAACAACTATTTACAGAGCATTTACATTGCTTCGGGTATTATAAGTCATCTGGAGACCATTGAAAGTATATGGGAAGAGCAGGGCACTCAGGCCCACACCCATAATCCCAGTGACTCAGGAGGCTGATCGTAGAGGATCCTAAGTTTAATGCCTGCATGAGGAAATCAGCCAGACCCTGTCTCAAAACTGAAAACAAAAAGGGGCAAGGATATAGCTTAGTGGTAGAGCACCCCTGGGTTCAATCCCCAGAACTGGGGGGGGGGGGCGGAGTCCATGGGAGGATGTACATGGGTTCTATGCAAATGTGGCACCCTTTCCTAAAAGGGAGTTGAACTTGAACGGCCACGTGACTTGGTATTGGGAGGATCCTGAAACCAATCACCCTTGAAATTTAAATTGCTAGAAAATTAAAAAAAGATCTAAGTAATGATACACACAACATTATGGATGAATCTCAAAGCCAACACATTCTCTATAAATATAATCAAAATCACTGGATCATACACTTTTAGTTTTATTTACTTATCTAAATTTTTGTGGTATTGAGGGTTGAACTCAAGGATGCTTTCCTACATCCTACATCCTCGGCCCTTTTTTTTTTTTTTTTTTTATTATTATTCTTTGAGACAGACAGTTTCACCAGTTTGCCTGGGCTGGCCTCAAATTTGGAATCCTCCTGACTCACCTCTCGAGTCCCTGGGATAACAGGTGTGTGCCACTGCACCTGGCTCATGTTTTAACTTTTATTATTATTATTTTAATTTTGAGAGAGAGTCTTGCTAAATTTTCCAGACTGGCCTCAAATTTGTAATCCTGCCTCAGCCTGCAAGTTGCTGGGATTACAGGCACGCACCACCACACCCAGCAAATCAAACACCTTTAAAACGTGAATTTTATGGTCTGTGAATTTAATCTCAATAAAGATAAATAAATAAATTTAAAACATGTTGAGCAAAAAAAGCCAGTCACAAAAAAAGCACATGTGGATGATTCCAGGAAATACAAAGTTCAAGGAAAACTCAATCGATGGTAATAGAAATTATAGGAGGAATTTGCCTAGGCAGAGACACAAACTAAACTCCTCGTGGCAGACTGGACCAAGTGGTGACCATCCGGGTATAGACGTATACGAAAATTAGCTGGGGCTGTAGCTCAGTGATAGAGCACTTGCCTAGCATGTACCAGGCCCTGGATTCCATCCCAGCTGCAGAAAAAAAAAAAAAATCATAGTGCCACACCCCCCACCCAAAGATCTGTTTATCTTACCATAGCTAAAATGTCCTTCAATCAAAATAATTAATAGTTTAAAACAAAAGAAATAACACATTATAAAGTCAAAGTACCCTGCTTCACCACCTGCCCTGCTACAGTAACAATACCCTAAATAAAAAATAATGCTACTGAATAATCATGGCCCTGTGTTCCGGAAGACTTAATTCATTCAAGCCTCCAGCCATCCTATGACTAGGGGCTGCTATTATCATCCTTTTTTAACAGATGAACAAACTGAAATACAGAACAGTAACCTGCCTGAGCTGTCCATATTAGTGTGAGTTCCATAAGGCTCTCCTACCTTTATACGTTATTTCTCTGTTTTATTAATCAATAGAAAATCATATTACACTGTACTTTTTTAAAAAAATTATTGCTGGGGATTGAACCCAGGGAAGTATTCGACCACTGAGGTACATCCCCAGCCCTTTTTATTTTTGAGACAGGGTCTTACTAGGTTGCCCAGGCTGGCCTCCAATTTATAATCCTCCTGCCTCAGCCTCCTAAGTAGCTGGGATGTATGGGCGTGGGCCACCACAATGGTATCCTGGGAAATGTTTTTTTTTTTTTTTTTTTTTGAGATAGATTCATTGGTACATTTAGTTCTGCTCTCAGCTTAATCCACTCCCCTTTCTTTCTCTGGCTCCTGCTGGTCCACACTTGGTTTGCAAAGAACTTTATCTTTGGGAAATACAGCCTCATTCTGTTTCTCCCTGATAAGAATGTATCACTGGTTCTCACTGTCCTCAGGGTCAAATTGAAACTCCCACCACACCATGGGCAGTGTCTGGAACTTGCCGCATCCACACTGAAGTTTATCAGCACTAAAAATTCCAGCTCAGCTGTATGATGTCTGGGTTGTATCCCCATTTATTCATTCAGCAGCTACTTTATTTATTATTTTACAGTGCTGGGGCTTGAACCCAGGGCCTTATGCATGCTATGCAAGCTGGCTGTCAGTGAGCTACACCTCAAGCCCTCAGCAACTGTTTATTGAGCATCCAGTATGTGTCAGACCCTGTTTTAGGAGGCAGGAACCCAGCAGAGAACAAGACAAATGTTCGCCCTTAGATTATTGACATCTTTTTGGGGGAGATATATAAGGAATGGTAAAGAAAATTTATTAAAATTCACATGAAAGAAAAATCAAGCCAAGTGAGGGTTGAAATTTGGAAAGGATGGGATGGGATTTATTATAGATGGGGGAGCAATCAGAGAAACCTTCTCTAAGGAGGCGACATTTGCACAAAGATGGAAATAAGCCGTGTACAGTGGTGCATGCCTGTCATGCCAGTGATCCTGGAGACTGAGGTAGGAGGACTGCTACATTCGAGGTCAGCCTTGCAACTTAGACTGTATCACAGAAAAAAAAAAAAAGAAAGAAAGAAAGAAAAAAGAAACTGGATCTCAATAAGTTGCCAAGGCTAACCTTGAACTTGCAATCCTCCTGCCTCAGCCTCCTGAATCCAAGCCTGGCACTGTCTCAAAATTAAAGTTAATAAATAAAAAGGGATGTAGCTTAATGGTAGAGGACCCCTGGCAGGGGACAGGCTCTGCACCTTTGAGGCATGTGCCACCAGAGTGGAATGATCATGGAGTTGGTGGGAGATGAGGATGGAAGACAGCCATCCCCAGAGTGTGCCTGGTTTTCCTGACTCTTCTCTGGGCCTTTGCCCCTCTTTAACCACCTGGCGATTTTCTAATTCATCCTTTGGAATTCAACTTCAGTGCCAGCCCTTCTGTGAAGCCCATGCTGGCTGCTCCCCCCATGGGGTGGCTGACAAAAACACCATGCAGGACAGGTAAGGGGTGAGAAGTTTTTTTGTAAGACTGATGGGAAGCCAGGAGCAGGTTTTCCAGCAGGGACAGGTGGGAAATGGTGTCTTTTAGGGATTCCAGGGCCCCAGAGTGGATTGATGAGTAGCCAGAAAAGTTACGGGGACGTGCTGCTAGCTCAGATATTACAGTTAGTCCTTTGTCTGCCTTTTAGATCCCCATTGCAACTCTGTTTCCAGTGCCACCAAAGTCCCCAGCGGGCATTGATAAATGTTCACTGAGTAAATGAATGCGGGAAGGTTGAAGAGAACATTTGGCTGATTTCCCCGGCTGCATCCAGGGAAGCAGCCTGGGACCTGGCAGGCGGGCGAGGGTTTGTCCCTGGGCAAGATGCTTTCTGCCAATCATCCTTGGCCTCCCTGGAAACCTCTCTACCTTGGGCTCCCCTTCTGTTAAATGGGTGGGAGAAAACTAGATGGAGATGCTATGTCCATCAGTGCAAGGACCATAAATATCCTGTGTTTTTTTTTTTTTTTGTGTGTGTGTTTTTGTTTTTTTTTGTTTTGGGCAGTACTGGAGATTGAACCCAGGAGTACTTTACCACTGGGCTATATCCCCCACTCTTTTCTATGTTTTGTTTTGAGACAGGATCTCATTAAGTTGCTTAGAGCCTTGCTAAATTGCTAAGGCTGGCCTTGAACGTGTGGTCTTCTTGCCTCAGCCTCAGGAGTTCTGGGATTACAGGTATGCCTGGCAAATATCCTATCTTGATTATTAGAGTAAGAGGCTTCTCAGGGTTTTTGTTTTTATCTGCAAATAACTAGGAGCAAAATAACTAGCTTGAAGAGTTATTGAATTCATTCAACAAACATCTGAGGAACAGCTAGGAAGCCAATTGGCTGGAGGGAATGAAGAGGAGAGATGGGAGGAAGTAAGGGCATATTGTGCAGGGTCTTGTAGGCTGCATGTTGTGTTTCTGTTGAGTTGGGCGCCAGGTTCTATGCAGAAGAGAGATATACCCCAACTCAGGTGTCCACGGGATCCCTTGGGAGAACAGACTGTGGGGGATGAGGACGAGGCCTTGAGAAGAGGGAGAAGGCACCAGATGAGTGGTGTGGGGGCTGGACCTGGAGAGGGTGGCCGAAGGGTGGAAGTGAGCGGATTCTCTATCAACACGCTTCTGCTCCTCCTTTCTCTGTTAAAATCCTCCAAAGAGTTGCCCAGAAGCAAACAAGAGAAAGCACCGCAGCCTGATCTCTGGGACGACAGACACCCGTAGAGCTGCGCCGCTGGTAACCAAGATACCCACAACCCTGCGTTCTGGCCGGTCCCGGGAGGGCACCGAAGTGCGAGCACCGCCTCCAGGGAGCGCAACCCGCCAGGAGCCCCGGGCACCAAGGTTTGGCTTCTTCACGGGATTCCTGAGGGGGAGAGGGGGCCGGCGGCGGCCACAAACCAAGTTGCATTTCCCGGGGGACTCCAGCACCTTGGAGAAATTCTGCAGAAACCTCCACATTTCGCTCGGGTACTAATCTGCATTTACGGAAAAAGAGCCCGGTCCCCACTTCACAGCGGTGGGGGGGGGGGGGGGGGGAAACTGAAGCTCAGAAGCTCCCGAGGTCCACAGTGGCAGCCAGTCCGAGGCTGTGTTGCGATTCGAACCCCTTTGAATAATGGTGACAGTAGCTTTAAAAGTGACGACGGCCAACACTTACTGAGCACTTACTGTGTTCTCAGCACTTAGCACTTAATTTTTACCAACACCCGAGAGGTGAGTAAACCCTTCCCATTTCACGCACGAAGCGTTCGGCTTTGGGGCTCCCTCGACATCGTTCGCTGAGATTCGAACTCAGACCCGCCCAGAGTTCGTCTGCAGGCAATAGGGAAACTTCCAAGCCACCGACCGGGGGACCGTGGGTTCAGGCGGTCTGAGCTTGCAATGCTGGGGGATAAATGGTCGTTTTTGCTTTTACAGTGGTCCCGGGAGCCCCAGAGGCCTCTGCACTGCCCGCTTTAACGAGGCCCATCCATCTCTTTGGGGTTCCCGCGTGCTTGGATGTGGGAACCCTGCGCAGAGCGCGGTCTCCGCGGGATCCGGAAGGAGGCAAGGAGGGGTGCAAGGAGGCGCTCTGGGCTGGAGGGAAGGGGACCCCGCAGCCCCGGGGGCCGCCGGGAGCCCCGCCCCTCGGCCCCGCCCCCTCCCCGGGCGCCGACCTCCGCGGTCACGTGACCCGGCCCGGCGGCCGCTGGGGCCGGAGGGCGCGGCGCGCGGACGCGGCGGCCTGGCCAGGCGGGGCCGGAGTGGAGCAGGCCAGAGCGGGCCGCGCGCCTGGGGAGGGTCGCGCCGCGCCCGCGCCCGCCCCCTCCCCGCCCCGCACGGGGCGCACGCGCGCTCCTCTCGCCGCCCCTCCCTCCGCGCGGGGACCCCTGGCGGGCGGCAGGAGGACATGGCCAGCGACGCCGTGCAGGTAGGCGCACCTGCGTCCGCACCCGCGGGGCGGCGGGACGGCACCGGGGACCCCCGCCCCGGAGCTGCCGGGGCTCCCCGGACGCGGGCGGCGAGGGCGGGGACCCCTCTAGCGCCAGGTGTCCTCTCCCTTGGCCCGGACCGGAGAGCCAGCGCGGCCCCCTTCTTGGCAGGTGGAGGCACAGACGTGGTCCGTGGAGGGGGTGCTGGCCCAGAGGCTCTTACCGCACCTCCAATCTCGGCCCCTCCCGAGAATTTGTGGGGGCGCAGTGGAGACCCCCCCTTGGGTGTCTGTGGCTGGCTGTGCATCCCGATGTCTCTGGTCCGCGTTTCATCCCCCTCCTCAGCATTCGATTCCTGGCAGGTGCCGCTTCACCTGGGACAGGTGTCTGGCGCTGTGCCCCTGAGGGGAGGAGGCTGCCCGGCTCGTGCCCCTCCCCCGCACAACAAAGCTCCCGCCACCCCGCCTCCAGACTGAGCTTTACTATGGTCCCCACGCCACCCAGATAGGCACCTGTTGGCGGAAGTGCCCGAGTCACTTCATTAGATTAGGGGATTGGGGACCCTACACCCACCCTTCAGGCTGCCAGAGGCTGCGTGCTGGAACCTTATCCCAGGTGGGGAGTGTCCATATCCACGGACCAGGATGCTCCCGTACTTAGAATCCTACACACATGCATGGGTGGCACTGCTGGGTCACCCTCGAACCCTCTACATACAGAGACACAGTGACTGGCACCAGCCTGCTGCTCAACCAGGTTGCCTGGTGCCACTTGATGGGCATCACTGCCCTGGACTCACCTTCCCCTCCCATCACAATCTGGGGCCACGGTGACCTCTGACCCTCTTGGTTCAAGGACCCAAATCTTGAGAAGTGTGTGTCGCTCTGCCTCCACTGGTGCTTCACCATCCAGTCCATTGTCCTGTGGTTGCTGTGTAACCAGGTTTTCATCTTCTATACCTGCCTCCGTCCCCTCTGTGTCTTCCCTGTGCCCCCTTCCCCCCAGTCCTGCTGATGGCCTGCCAGCCTTGCCGAGGAGCTGGGCGTATCTGGTGTTGCCGATCACACAAGGTCAGACCTCGGGGCTGGGATGGGCCTGGGTCCCTGCCTCCACCCACAGGCCAGGAAGGGCTGTGTAGGAGTCCCCTGGCGCATGCATGCGCTTGGCGTGTGCCACACATGACCCACAGGGAGGCTGTGATTCCTGGAATGAGGCTGGACCCATGCCCTGGTCCCTGTCCCTGCCACTTGCCCACTTTCTTCTCCCTTCCTGGTCATCCCTTTCTTGTGGCTGCTTGGGCTTGCTGCCCTGTCCCTCCGTCCCAATGTGTGCCTGTCTGTTCTGTGTCCGGCGAACGGATGTCCTGTTCAGATTCCTGAACCGCCCAAGGCATTGAAATCTCAGGACGTGGGGGTCTAGGTCCCTGGCTGCTCTGGGAAGAGGGGAATTCTGGGAGGTGGGCACTCTGGGTCTGGTGTCTCCTGCTCCCGGGTGAGAGGTGGAGGAGTAGGGATTCTCCGAGGCCATGCCAGGCCTGGTTCCTGGGTTCCCCTTCTGGCCCTCAGGTGACCCTTTGCCCCTGGGTAGCAGTGAGTCACCCAAGGGTAGGAGGACCCAGGAGGCCTGGCCTCCCTCCTTCCCAAGCTTCCTCCCTGCTTTGCATATTCTCAGGCCTCAGCTGTTGGGGGTGGGGCTAGGGAGGTCACTCCTCCTCTCTGCCTGGACTTCCCCCATTTGAGCTGGCCCTGCTCCTGGCTCTGTCTGCTGTGCCTGCTGGGGACAGGGTGGGGCTGGCAGCAGGGTGGTGGGTGGAGCCCAGTTGGGCCAGGGTGGTATTAGGTGAGCCTAGGTTTCAATTCCAGCACTGTCCCTTCCTAACTGGATGCCCTGCACCAAATGCCTTCCCTTCTCGGAGCCTCCATTCTGCCAGGGGGAGCCGGGCCTAGAGAGCTGGAGAGAGAAACAGGCATGGGCCACACTCGGTGGGCAGAGGCGTTCTTTGGGGCTGGGTCCTTCTTTGTGGTGGGGGCTGTCCTGTGCACTATGGATGTTGACCAGCATCCCTAGAATCAGCCTGATAGATGCCACCTCTACACCCCCAGAGGTGACAAACAAACTGTCTCCAAACATTGCCACGTGTCGTGTCCCCTGGGGTGAGGACAAAATCAGTTTCCTCCCATGTAAAGTGGGGGAGCAATGGCAGCAGCTCAGGGGTGTCCTGGGGGATGGTAGGGTCATGGAGTTAAGTTCTTGGCCTATGATGGTCCAGCCTTGGGGCAGCTGCCCTTGAGGTCAGGAACCAAGGAGGACTTTCCTCACCTATGAAACAGAGTCTCAGAGCCAGGGGATATAATGCAGTGGGGACCTCCAGCTCTCGTGGGGTTTCTGAGTGCTCTTTAAATCTTGGCCCTGCTTCCTGTTGACTGTGGGCAAGTGCTCTGGACCTCAGTTTCTTCATCTTGGAGATGGGTTGATAATAGCACCTATGTCACAGGACTGTGCTAGCCGAGAACTGGGGGAGGTTTGTAGTATCTGCTGTTGCTATTTTTGGTGGTGCTGGGGATGGAACCCGGGGCCTTGCGCATGGTAGACCAGCGCTCGGCCACCAGCTCCACCCCAGCCTGCATCTATTATGGATAGGTGAGCTTTTTAACTGTGTGCTCAGCAAGTGGTTTGTGGGCTGCTTGTTTGGAGGACTTTGTTGTCCCTGCCCCCCAGTGCTATTTTCTCATGGTGCTGGCCTCAGGGAGGTACCCCTAGGCCTCAGGGCTGTGGCCAGCAGCAGTTGCTGTCTGGACAGGGAGGAAGCAGGAAGTCAGGACAGCCTGTCTGCAGGAAGGGGGCCTGGCCTCTGCAGGACTGCCTGTTCTGACCCCAAAGGGGAAGCTGGGGACACAAGGCCAGTGGGAGGGTGTGCCTGGGTAGGTAGTACTGGGGCTAGAGGCCGTGGTACCTGGGGAAGTGTGCGTGTGGCGTGAGCACGTGAGCTGTGTGCACTTGGGCAGGTGGAGTGTGTATCGTGTGGGGTCTGGAGTGACCCAGATAAGAATTCATAGGCATTTGCATATGAGTGTGCATGCAGGTGGGAGTAGGAGTGTCACAGGTGAGCCTGGGCGCACACCTGAAGTTGTGGAAGGGAAGTGTGCTCATAGTTATGAGCCCTGTCCTATGCACACATACATAGGTATGCATGTGTGTACCTGTGAGCCTGCACATATTTGTGAGCATGTTGTGTGTGTGTGATGTTGGGGATGGAACCCGCTGCCCTCTGCATGCTGGGCAAGCCAGCCCCAGGCCAGCCCCAGCCCGTTGAGGGCCTATAGTAACTGCTGTTCCATATACACGCCTGTGTTCCATGTACACACCTGCAGACCTGTAAGTGTGTGCATCTTGTGACCCTGTGCACCTTCCTGTAGATGTGTGAAAGCATGCACACACCCATTGTCCTCTGGAGCCTGTGTGCCCTCACGGGAACCCTTTTGCCATGTGCACACTTTGGGTATCCACACTGTGGACATCTGCAGGGAGCGAGGGCTGTCTCTGGGGTGCCCTGAAAAAGCAGGCACGACCCTGAGGGCCTCTCAGATGCCCCTGAGCTGGCCTGGCGCAGGGGGTGCTGGGAGTTGGCAGGAAAGAGGAAGTGGTGGCCCAGAGGCCCTGGCAGGGCTGAGGTTCAGGAAGAGGGCGGGGCCCTCAGCCTGGACCCAGGATGGCGGAGGCTGATTTCCCTAAGGCGCAGGAGCTGGAGGTGGGAGCTGGGGTCCCTGCGGGTGTGTGTGGAAGGGGACCCCGAGTGACACCAGCTGGAGGCCCTGCCTTGGGTACCTCTTGGTTGGGGACTGTGGAGGGGACGCGGTGTGGTTGACAGTTCTGTGCGGAGGGTAAACATATCTGGGGCCTCCAGGGCTCGTAGGTTGGGGAGACAGGAAGAAGGAGATGGTTCTGCTCGGTGGAGCCCCGGTTTTAGGAGGCAGAGGGAAGGGTCTACTTTTGAGGCCTCCTAATTTGGGGGTACATTAGCATGTGAGGCCTGTCCCTGGGATTTCCTCGTTTGGGGTACAGTAGAGGGAACACAGGGCCTTCCTCAGGACCTCCTAATTGGGGGTGCAGCCGTGGGGAGAAGGCATCTTCCCTCAGGCGCCTCCATGGGGGCAGTAGGGTTGCCCCTGGACCCCACTGCATGTAGGACAGCTGAAGGGAACCGGACTGTACCTGGGGTCCTCTGGTCTAGCGGACGGGGGAGAGGAAGGCCTTGCTCTTGACCTGCTCTCCGACGGTCAGTTTGGGGGACAGGAAGCAGTTTGGGGTCAGAGGTGGAGCAAGTGCTGGAAGGTGCCGAGGGTGGACACGGGCCAGGGCGGCTGTGTGGTGGGGGCTGCACCCAGAGTCCCCCTCACCACCCGCCTGCCGTGTCCCCCCAGAGCGAGCCACGCAGCTGGTCCCTGCTGGAGCAGCTGGGCCTGGCTGGGGCAGACCTGGCGGCCCCCGGGGTGCAGCAGCAGCTGGAGCTGGAGCGGGAGCGGCTGCGGCGCGAGATCCGCAAGGAGCTGAAGCTGAAGGAGGGGGCCGAGAACCTGCGGCGGGCCACCACCGACCTGGGGCGCAGCCTGGGCCCCGTGGAGCTGCTGCTGCGCGGCTCCTCACGCCGCCTGGACCTGCTGCACCAGCAGCTGCAGGAGCTGCACGCCCACGTGGTGCTGCCCGAGCCTGCTGGAGGTGAGGCGGAGACACCGGGCCTCGGCCGCCGCCTCCAGGGGGACACACCAGCACTACACCTGTCCGCGTCAGCACACAGCCACAGCAAGCGTCCAGCCCCACACGGTCACCAACACCCAGAGACAGGCAAGCCCGGTCACACCCGTGCCCGACACCACCCAAGGATGCACACTGCATCGCACAGCCACCGTGACACCCAAACAACACCCGGAGACTCATGGTGCCACAGCCACACCGACACAGAGACAGCTCCCAAAGACTTGCCACCGCTACACAAGTGCCTGGAAACAGGCCGGGGAGGTGGCTCAGTGGTGGAGGGCCCCCGAGTTCAGTCCCCAGTACTGGAAAATAGAAAATAAAAACCCAGACGTGTCAACACCTGGGCAACGCCTGGTGACACGCTGTCACGTGAACACACGGCAGCTCTCACCAGTCACACCCCCCCCCCCCCCACACAAGGATGTGCACACTGTCACACAAATACCCCGGAGACACCACATAATGCTTGCACGACTCCCAGGGACTTTATTTTTCATTTCTCATTTCTGTGGTGCTGGGCCTGGACCCCAGGTCCTCGAGCATGCCAGGCAAGTATTCTGCCACTGAGCTCCACCCGACCCATTTTTTTTAATGTTTAAAAAATTATATTTTAATTTTTAATTGTGGTTAAAAATGTAAAACCACATTAAGTACAGTTTATTGAGTTACGTATGCTCACACTGCCGTAACAGGTCTCTAGAATTCTTCATCTAAAGCTTTTTACAGGCACACAACACCTAAATGGCACCCCAGAACTTACACTCTGTCATATAACTCCCCAGAAAAACACACCATCAATCACAACATCCTTGTGACACCAAGGACTTAGACACTCTCATATGACTTTTTTGGGGGGGTACCGAGGATGGAATCCAGGGCCACTTAACCACTGAGCCCCATCCCCAGCCCTTTTTATATTTTATTTAGAGACAGGGTCTCACTGAGTTGCTTAGGACCTCGCTAAGTTTCTGAGGCTGGCTTTGAACTCACCATCCTCCTGCCTCAGCCTCCCAAGCCGCTGGAATTATAGGCATGCGCCACTGCACCCAGCTACACACTGTCATGTGAATCCCAGAGACTGTCAATTAGTTATGACAACACCCACACTTACTGCCACCAGCACCTAGAGAAACACAGATGACACACAGAGACCTGCACACGTGCCACACTAGCTCCCAGAGACACACACCAACCCTTGCAAACTTCCACAGTCCCCTGGACAGCCAGAGAGGGACATCTGTGACCAGACAAGACCGAGAGACGCACACTCCCACACCAGTGCCTAGCACCTCACGCACAGAGCCTGTCACCGTGTCCTGCATGTAGGCACAGAGTTCAGCCAACACACGGATCTCATGCAGTTGCTTCTGCGGCTCCAACTGCCTGTGTCCCACCACCCTTCAGAGACTCATGCAGACGCCCCGAGGCACCAGCACAGCCACACCACACCAGCACAGCCAACACCAGGGTCTCCCAGTGTCTCACAGCTGTGCCAGCATTGGGGGGTGACACCTGCGGTTCACCAACATAAGCACACCCACCCCGTGGGCTCACCCACAGCCGTGTGAATACCTGGGGGCCTTTCCTACCAGCGAACCCCAAAGGCAGGCACTCACCTGGATGTGGGCCATCTTCATTCATTCTGGGTCCTGACCCCAGTCCTAAGGGGTTTCCCGGGGAGGGCTGGGTGTCAGGACCTCTGGGCCCTGGTGTCTGGCCCTCTGTGTGGTGGCAGCAGCTCCTCCGCCCCTCTGCCCCGGGTAACATCCAGTGTCCCAGGTGGGCTGAGGGTGGATGCTCATGGCTGGGGTAACATGTCCTAGGCAGAGCTAGGTGACAGCCGTGGTAACTGCTTTTCCTCTTGTTCCCTCCAGATGGCCCCCAATCCCCAGGTATGGGCGGCCCTGCCTGTTCGGCCACCAACCTGAGCCTGGTGGCAGGTCTGGAGAAGCAGCTGGCCATTGAGCAGAAGGTGAAGCAGGGGGCGGAGAACATGATCCAGACCTACAGCAACGGCAGCACCAAGGTGGGTGTCTGGTGCACATGGGCCTGTGTGCACACCCACGAGCACAGACCCTCCCCGTGTGCGCACACATGATCACACACATCTTCTTCCTCCATTTTCAGTTGCTATAACTGAAAACCACAGACTGCTTATTTTTTTTTTTTTTTTGGTACCAGGGAGTGAACCCAGGGGCCCTTGACCACTGAGCCACACCCCCAGCCCTACTTTGTGTTTTATTTAGAGACAGGGTCTCACTGAGTTGCTTAGGGCCTCACTGTTGCTGAGGCTGGTTTTGAACTTGCGATCCTCCTGCCTCGGCCTCCCTAGCCCCTGGGATTCGAGGTGTGCGTCACTGAACCCGGCTAAACCACAGACTGGATAATTTATTTAAAAAAAAAATGACTTTAGGTCAGTTTGGAGGTGCAGCGCGGGCCTGGCGTATGCCCGGCTTCTGGGGAGGACCTCATGGCAGAACAGTAAGGGGAGGCAGCCGGGCACCTGAGAGGTCACATGGGGGAGACCAGGGGAGGTGCCAGGATTGTTTTGTACTGAGTCTCACAAGGACAGACCCCAAGCACAGCACAGCAGAAATCACCCTGGGGCTTGGTGTGCATCCCAGTGGCAGAGCATGTGCTTAGCATGTGAAAGGCCCTGGGTTCCCCCAAGTACTGCAAAACAATCAAAAACTAATCTAGTGTCCAAGCATTCATCATTTTTTTAAACCATTTTATATATTTACTTACTTATTTTTGTGATACTTGAGGTTGAACCCAAGAGTACTCTACCACTGAACTTCATCCCCAGCCCTTTTAAAAAAATTTTTATTTTGAGGCAGAGTCTCACCAGGTTACCCAGGCTGGCCTTGAACTTGTAATCCTCCTGCCTCAGCCTCCTGAGTCACTGGGATTACAGGCATGCGCCACAGCACCCAGCTCACCATGGTACCCATTTTAAAGTGCACAGGTTAGTGGCATTATGTGCACTCCATGTAGTGCAACCAGCACCTCTGTCTGGTTCCAGAACATTTCAGGGGGCACCCTAAAAGGAAACTGTCTCAATTAGTAGTCAGCCCCTCTCCCCTCCCTCAGCCCCTGGCAACAGCGAATCTACATTCTGTGTGTATGGACACCTGTTCTGGATGTTTCACATAAATACAATGCGTAGCCTTTTGTGTGTGGCCTTGGGGGACCGCCTCCCCACATGCCCGTCACTCTGAGGGCTAATGCAGACATTAGCAGGCTTGGCTCTGCGCTCTGCACACAGACCACCTCCTTCAGTCATCGGGGCAGTGGAGATGAGTGCCATTAGTACTCTGAAGCCCAGAGAGGTGGAGTGGCAGAGTGAGGACTTAAACCCCATGGACTACATTAATCCACCTCCCAGGACTCTATGGGAGTGTGCGCTGTTGTACCTACAGGTTAAAGGAAACTGTCTTAATTAGTAGTCAGCCCCCCTCCCCTCCCTCAGCCCCTGGCAACAGCGAATCTACATTCTGTGTGTATGAACACGCACTGTCACACAGCCTTCCAGGGTCTGCGTGGTGTGGACAGAAGCAGCTCTCCAGCCTTCCTCTCACAACCCCTCTCTGCCTCCAGGACCGCAAGCTGCTGCTGACAGCCCAGCAGATGCTGCAGGACAGCAAGACCAAGATTGACATCATCCGCATGCAGCTCCGCCGGGCACTGCAGACTGGCCAGCTGGAGAGCCAGGTGGCCCCAGAGGAGGCCCAAGGCAAGTCCCTCACCCTGAGATAGCTTGGCCTGCATTCCACCCTGCAGGCTTCAATCTGCAGCTCCACAAAGCATCCTTTTCTGGGGCAAGGAGGCAGGTACCATGACCCCGCTGTGTGACTGTAACCTGTTCCTGACCTTCTCTGGGTCTGTTTGAAATTTTGTCCCATTTTAAAATTTGGACTAAGTCAGGTATCAGTCAACTCTCATCCTTAGGACAAATCCGTGTGTGTGTGTGTTCGCACGCATGCATCTGAGCATGAGCCTGCGTGTCTGGGTCTGCAGGTACGAATGAGCTGAATGTATTGAGACTGCCAGCCCCAAGCGCAGGCAGGGTCTTGGTGTATTGTGTGTGGTGGTTGTACCACTGGTGTGGGTCAGCATTAATGTGACTTGGACGGGGGCCAGGGGCTGATGTTCAGTTGGCCCCCCATATTCCTGGGTTCCCTGTCTGTAAATTCAGCCAATACAGGTTGAAGATATTTCGAGGAAAAATTGTGCCTCTGATGAACACGTGCAGACCTTTGTTTCTTGTTATTAGTCTGTAAATGATGCGGCGTGACATCTATGTACACCGCGTTCATTTTGAATTTTAAGTCACCCAGGGGTGCTTTGAGGTTTACAGGAGGATGTGTGTGTGTTCTATGCAAATGCTACTCAATTTTATAAATGAGACTTGATGTTGGTACCAGAGGAGGATCCTGGGATCAGTCTCCTGTGGATATCAAGGGACAACTATATGTCTTGTGTGTCTCAGGAGAGGTAACGGAGGGTCAGCTGTTGGCCTGTGACTGATGGCACCGTGTGTGTCTGGGGCCTGTGTGCGTCTGTGGTGTGTCTGTGTGCTTCTCGGTGACTGTACTGTGTGAGTGTGGCCCTTTGCCTTTGGGTGTTGTCACCGTGAGCGGCTTGTAGTTTTATCCCTGAGTCTTTGTGGCATATTGAGCATCGCGCACCAGCATACCTGGGAACCCCTGTGTGACTGTAAGATGACATTCTGGGAACATCAGCGTCCCTGTGACTAGTTCCTGTCTAGGAGAGCGCCACACACCTGTGGGCACAGTGTGACTGACGTGGCTCTGTGATAAAGTGCGAGGGTCTGAGCTGGGACATTACCCAGGACTATAGGACCATCCTAGCGACTGACAGCTGTAGCCAAGTGAGCTGTGACCGGTGCCTGTGAGTGATGAAATTCCTACACCTGTGTCACAGGATGTGCTCCTCGAGCCATTGGGTGGCTCTTTCCTGTGTTGGGATGTGGCTTGTCCCTGTGCCTTCATTGACACCCAGTCTTTCTCTGTGACACTGAGTCTCTGTGGGTTCAGTGATACAGCCCTGCCTCTGAGGAGTGTGGTGGCATTTCTTGGCTGTCCCAATGCCTTGCCCTTGTGGTGGTGTGATCATGCTTCTGTGACTCCCGGGCTGGAGTTAGGTCCTGGATTTTTGCTGCAGTGTCCCTTTTCTTGGCTCTGGGCTTGGGCATAAAGTCATTTCTGTCTTTTGACCGGGTCCCTCTTCCCCTGTGATGGTGTGTCCCTGTGCCAAGTTGATGGCCTGTGTCTGTATGGTAACAGAGTCTGTTGTGTTGGTGTCCCTGTGTGCCAGTGTGATCGTGTCTTTGTGACCTGTGTGTTCCACTGCAGGTGACAGGTGGTGATGGCATTCTGTCCCTGTGGGCAACAGGGTGCCCGCAGGTCCGCCTTGGGCTGGGCTGCTGTCGCAGGACTGCAAACCAGAGGCTGAAATGAACACATTTGTTTTCCCACAGTCCTGGGGTGACATCAGGGTGACAGCGTGGTGGCAGGGGCTTTCTTCCTGACTTGCGGATGGCCACCTTCTGGCCATGTCCTGAGGTGGGGAGGAGGGGAAGGCACCATGTGCTCAAGTGGGCACACATGGCAGGCTCTCTGGTCTCTGTCCCTCTGTCTCTTTGGCCATGCTGGGGACAGACGGGGTCTCGGCTTGCCAGCCAAGTGCTGTACCGCTGGGCCGCACCCAGCCTGGGTCTCTCTTCTTTGAGGGCCTCAGTGCTATCCCAAGTGCCCCTCACGACTCCACTCATCCTCGTCACCTCCGAAGGCCCCGCTCCAACGTGCCCCATGGGGGTCGGAGCATCCAGGACTCTGTGTCTTAGGATGGCTGTTGCTCCAGCGTCGTGAGTGCAGTGTCATTGAATCCCTGTGGCTGTCCAAATGCCCACAGGTGACCCTGTGCCTGGTTAAGGATGTGACAGCAGGATGGTGACTGTTCACTGGGGAGTGAAGTGTGTCAACACCTTATGACAGCATGATTTATGTCCCTGTCCCTGTGGGTGACAGTCCCTGGGTGATGACAGTGACTGACTCTAGCTAATTCTGTGACTGCCCTGGATTACTGTATGCCTGTCCCCCTGCTGCTCTCTGGAATGAAGACGGGCAATTACAATGGGACTGTCCCTAAGCCCAGGTTGACAGCATGCCTGTGTTTCATTACAGTGATTCCTGCTATGTCCTTAGGACGCTCTCTGTGAGTGGTGGTGTTTGGATAAGAGTGACTGAGTCTGGCTGAGTGTGGCCTGCCTGCGAGTGGCAGCATGATTGCTCCTGGGGAGAAGCGGGATGCGTCCTGGCGGTGGTATGTCTGTGGCTTTGTGTCTGGGGCCAGGTTGCCCAGGGACCTGCAGGTCAGCCTCACTGTCCCAAGTTCCATCCCAACAGGGGACCCAGACCTGGGAGCAGTAGAGCTCCGCATCGAGGAGCTACGACATCACTTCCGAGTGGAGCATGCGGTGGCCGAGGGTGCCAAAAATGTGTTGCGCCTGCTCAGCGCGGCCAAGACCCCAGACCGCAAGGCCCTTGGGGAGGTGAGGGGTTGGAGCGTCAGCGGTGGGCGGAGCTACAGTGAGGGGCAGTGACAGCCTGAACAGGCCCTTAGTGAGGGTGGAGCCTCAATGAGGGAGGGGCGGGGCCTCATCAGGACGGTTCATTAGCGTGGGGTGGGGCCTCAGCAATGGGTGGGGCTTGGACTAGGAATGGGGCCACTATGGGGCGGGGCCTCGGTGAGGGGCGGGGCCTCGACCTGGATGAACCGGTAAGAGGTGTGGCCTCTGCAAGGGATGGGCCTTAGTAAGGGCAGGGTCTGGTCTATAGGGAGCTCAAGGGCAGGAACAGTGGTTTGAAATTTAAACCCCTAGAGAGAAGGAACCCAAGCTGGGGGAGTACCTAGATCTGTGCTTGGATAGGCCGCCCAGTCCCGCCCTCAGCCCTGCCTTCCCACTGCAGGCGCAGGAGAAATTGACCGAGTCCAACCAGAAGCTGGGGCTGCTTCGAGAGGCGCTGGAGCGGAGGCTCACGGAGCTGCCTGCCGACCACCCCAAGGGGCGGCTGTTGCGGGAGGAGCTCGCTGTGGCCTCGTCTGCCGCCTTCAGCGCGCTCCTGACTGGGCCCTTCCCCGCCATGCACTACAGCACCCTGTGCAAGCCTGCGCCGCTCACAGGTGCGCCCCGGGTCTGACCTGCCCTGGCGGCTCTGGGCCTCTGACCCCTCATATTGCCCCAGCCCTGAGACCGCTGAACTGGATCCAGGCTTTCCAACCAGAGTCTTGTCCCTCTGTCCTCTCCCTTTCCCTGCCACCTGTCTCTCTCATCCTGCACCCCACGTCCGCAGGCCAGACAGCCCTCTGCACGTGGGCTCCCACCTGTTTGGGTTTTTTTGGTACTGGAGATTGAGCCCAGGGACGCTTAGTCACCGAGCCACATCCCAGCCCTTTTAATATTTTATTTTGAGACAGGGTCTCACTGAGTTGCTTAGGGCCTCGCTAGGTTACTGAAACTGACCTCGAACTTGCAGTCCTCCTCTTGCAGCTTGATTACAGGGAGTCGCTGGATTACAGGCGGCACTACCAAGCCTGGCTTCCCACCCCACTTTGCTTTCTGATTCTAGATTTTTGCCCCATCCCCTCCTCTCCACCTGCCTCCTGGCCCAACAAACCCCTCAGCCCTGAACCTCTAACCTCTGCCTCAGCCCCTCTCAAACCTCAGATCAGCTCACCAGATCCTACCCCAGACCCCTGGGTCCTAGCGAGTTCCTCGAGACCCTCTAGAGTACCTCTCCCTATTCTCATATCTGGGCAAAGCCATCGATTGCCCCACCCCGATTGTCCTTTATGGGCTCCCACTTGTATCCTGGGATGTGACCTTTCCGTTATGGGCCCCGTAGCCTGCTCCTGCAGTGGCCCCTGATGATCCTGCCCCTCTGCAGGAACCCTGGAGGTGCGTGTGGTGGGCTGCAGAGACCTCCCAGAGACCATCCCCTGGAACCCCTCACCCTCGATGGGGGTACCTGGGACCCCCGACAGCCGCACCACCTTCCTGAGCCGCCCAGCTCGGGGCCTTTACAGCCGAAGTGGAAGCCTCAGCGGCCGGAGCAGCCTCAAAGCGGAAGCTGAGAACACGAGTGAGTGGGCACCGGGCCTGAGGGTGGGGCATGGATGGGGCCCTGGACGCCCCGCATTTGTGACACTTTAAACAGTGCACATGTGGCACATGGCTGTAATCCCAGCTGTGTGGGAGGCCAACTGAATACCTGAGCCAGACCCCATCTCCAGAAAACAAAGCAAAGAAGCCAAAACAAGGAAAAAAAACAAAAACAAAAAACTCTAAAACAGCCAACCAACATCCCCTCTCCCCAATTCATCTATTATCACAACAGCAGTGACAGCCACAACAGAGCAGAGTGTTGTGTTGGTGAGGACCTGGAGAAGCTGGAACCTCTGTGCACAGTTGGGGGGAATGTGAAGGGCACACTGTGGAGAACTCCGTGGCTCCTCAGAACACGGAGCATGGCCTGGGAGGTGGCTCAGGTAGAGCACTGGCCTAGCACCTGTGAGGTCCCGGGTTGCGTCCCCAGTGCCACAAAGAAATAAAGTTATATGATCCAGTGATTCTGTTTCTGGGTATTCATCCAAAAGAATTGGAAACAAGGGCTGGGGCTGGGGCTCAGTGGTGGAGCGCTAGCCTTGCATGTGTGAGGCACTGGGTTTGATTCTCAGCACCACATATAAATAAATAAAAATAAAATTCTATCAACAAAAATTTTTAAAAAATTGGAAATAAGATCTTAGAAGAAATTTCTTTTTTTTTTATTTTTGGTAACTGGGATTGAACCCAGGGGTACTTTACCACTGAGCGACATCCCCAGCCCTTTTTTATTTTGTACAGTGTGATTGTCTCCCTAAATTGCTCAGGGCCTCGATAAGTTGCTGAGGCTGGCTTTGAACTTTCGATCTTCCTGCCTCAGCCTCCCAAGCCATGGGGATTACAGGTGCGCACCACTGCACCTGGCATATAAAACAAGATCGTCAAGAGACATTGTGTACCCACATTTACAGCAGTATAATTTATTTATTTATATTTTAGTACCAGGAATTAAACCCAGGGGCACTGAACCACTGAGCTACATCCCCACTCCTTTTTTTTTTTTTTTTAATTTTTTTAGTTGTTGATGGACCTTTATTTTATTTATTTATACGTGGTGCTGAGAATCAAACCCAGTGACTCCCACATGTGAGGCAGGTGCTCAACCACTGAGCCACTACCCTAGCCCTTCCCACTTCTTTTTTATTTCAAATTCTGAGACAAGATCTCACCAAGTGTCATGGGGCCTCCCTAAGTTGCTAAGGTTGGCCTTGAACTTGTGATCCTCCTGTCTCAGCCTCCCAAGCCACTGGGATGACAGGCATGCGTTACCTTGCCCAGCCATGGCAGCATTATTCACAGTAGCCAAAAGGTGCAAGCATCCAGGTGTCCACCGGTGGATGAGTGGAGAAGCACAGTGTGCTGTAGCCGTACGGGGAACATGGTTCAGCCTTAGAAAGAGGAGATCCTGTCCCCTACTACACGTGGAGGACCTTCAGGACAACGTTCTAAGTGAAGTAAGCCAGTCACACACAGTCTAACACCGCGTGACTTCCTCATGAGTCTAATTCATAAAGGCAGAATTAGAAGGCAGGTACCAGAGACTTGAAGGGGTGAGTGGGGAGTTTGTGGGGACAGTTTCAGTTGGGTAAGATGAAAAAGAGCTCTGGAGATAGTGGTGGTGATCGTGGTACTGCTCAATGCCACAGAGCTGCCCACTCAACAATGATTATGGTGGTGTTGATATGCATTTTGGTTTAATTTTTAAAAAGAAAGAAAGAAGACGTACCCGTGTACAAAAACGTGAGTATAAGGCTGGGTGTGGCTCAGTGAGGGGGTGCTTGCCTAGCTCAGGGGCCTGGGTTCCACCCCTAGCACTGCAAAAACAAAACCCAACAACCCAAAACAAGAGAAATCAAAATAATAACAATAAAGCAAACACCCATCTTACCACCCAGGCCCAGAAATAGACTGTTGCCATCTGTATTCCCAGCGACTCTGGAAACTGAGGCAGGAGGGTTACAAGTCTGAGGCCAGCCTCAGCAACTTAGCAATTTAGCTAAGACCCTGTCTCAAAATAAAAAAAAATAAAAAGGGCTGGGGATGTGGCTCAGTGGTAGAGCATCCCTGGGTTCAATTAATATCAAAAAAAGAAAGAAAAAGAAATAGAATATTGCTAGCCTTCCAGAATTCCTCTCCCAAGTTCAGTTCTAATCCCTTTACCCTCAGGTAGCTAGAGGGCTTCTTTTTTTTTTTTTTTTTTAATATTTTTTAGTTGTCAATGGACCTTTATTTATTTTTATTTATTTATATGTGGTGCTGAGAATTGAACCTAGTGCCTCACACATACTGGGCAAGCGCTCTACCACTGAGCCACAACCCCAGCCTCAGGTAGCTGGCCTTCTGATGCTTATGGTTGTAATGTCCTTTCCTTGCTTTCCTTTGTAGTTTTAGCACCTGTTTATCTCCAACAATATAGATTTTTTTTATTATGGAGAATTTGCATAATGAAATATCTTGGGAATGTGACCCAAGTCAAAACACAAAATTCATTTATGTCTCATATACTCTATGCACATAGCTCAAAGGTAATTGTATATATTTTTAGTGATCTTGGACATGAAACTAAGTTCAAAAATGAAGGTTAGGTTGGTGCTCAAAAAGTTTTAGATTTTGGAGCATTACAGATTTGGGATTTTCATATTAGGGGTATGCAACCTATATTCTCCTATTAGTGGACAGTGAGATGTTTCTTATTTAGGACCACTATATAAGTAGCATATGTATGCATCTCCTGAAGTATAATGCCTGCATGCATTTATCTAGGGTAGGAGTATACTGCTGGCACTTCTGAATAGAATAAAAGTGAATTTGCCTGGAAGTGGTAGTGTACAACTATTATCTCAGCTACTTGGGAGGCTGAGGCAGGAGGATTGCAAGTTGAGGCCAGCCTGCACAATTTACTGAGACCCTGTCTCAAAATTAAAAAAAAAAAAAAATTTAAAAGCGTTTGGGATGTAACTCAGTGGTAGAGTGTCCCCGGGTTCCATCCCCAGTACCGTACCCACACAAAGTGAATTTGGATCCCTACCTCACACCATATGAAAAAATCAACTGGATCAAAGCCTTTAACATCACAGGCAAAACTTGGAACTTTGCCAATATAGTAAAGCAGAATGTTACTGGGATTTCTTTAAGAAGACCCTAGAGACCCCCCGTGGTGTCCTGACCTGCTCCCCTGTTGCAGGTGAGGTCAGCACCGTGCTCAAGCTTGACAACACAGTGGTGGGACAGACTTCCTGGAAGCCGTGTGGCCCCAACGCTTGGGACCAGAGCTTCACCCTGGAGCTGGAGAGGGTGAGCTGTGTTGGACAGACGGGGTCAGCGGAGTTCTGGGCCCCGGACACCCCAGGTGATAGCCCTGTTCCTGTCCCTCAAGGCGCGGGAGCTGGAGCTGGCGGTGTTCTGGAGGGACCAGCGGGGCCTGTGTGCCCTCAAGTTCCTGAAGTTGGAGGACTTCCTGGACAACGAGAGGCATGAGGTGCAGCTGGACATGGAGCCCCAGGGCTGCCTGGTGGCTGAGGTACAGCCCCCCGACCCCGAGAAAATCCTTCCTGCCCCCCCGCCCCCCGTTTCCTGGGAGGGTAGGACGCACTTCGGCTGGGCCTCGGCCCCTTACTCAGTCCCATCAGTGATGCTGGTTGGTTCGGTTCTGAGGCAGAGGACAGACCACGTAGACAAGGGGGACCCCATAAGATGACATCGCTCAGTGACCACGGGGCCACCTTACGTGGTTTTTCCTGATTTTGCCATCTTTTGTGTGAAGTGCACTCACGGCATCTGCGCAGGGATGGAAATGTGTGTTTCTCTGAAAAAGGCCCGGGGTGCAGCTCGCGGGGAGCGCTGGCTGGTGTGCAGGAGGCCCTGGGTTCCGTCCCCAGCACTGAGCGGGAAGAAAATCTCAAAGTTTATAAAGCCCACAAAGAAAGCAAGGGTGGGGCCTGCCCCAGAGCCTCGCCTCGCAGGCGGAGGCTCCTCCCACAGATGCCTTAGGTTAGGGTCTAAAGCAGGGTCCCTCCCTGCCACTGCCGACTGGGGACTGGATCCTCATTCTCTGTGGCAGGGCATCCTGTGCACAGTAGCAGAGTAGGGCGCTTCCTGGTCTCCCCTACAGGGTGCCAGTAGCACCTCTGTCCACTCCTGTTCCTTTTTTTTTTTTTTTTTTTTTCAGTACCAGGGATTGAACTCATGGGCACTCGACCACTGAACCCCAACCCCATTTTGTATAAAATATACAATGGTATTTTATTTAGAGATAAAGTCTCACTTAGCACTTTGCTTTTGCTGAGGCTGGCTTTGAACTTGATCCCCCTGCCTCAGCCTCCCAAGCCACTGGGATGACAGGCGTGTGCCCCCCTGCCCAGGCCTGTTCCAGTTCTGACAGTCAAAAATATCTCCATCAGGGCGTGGTGGCACATGCCTTAATCCCCGTGACTAGGGAGGCAAAGGCTGAGGCAGGATGATCTCAAGTTCCAGACCAGCTTAGCAAGACCCTCAGCAAAGACCCTGTCTCTAAAAATAGGAAGGACTGAGGATGTAGTTCTGTGATGAAGTGTCCTTGGGTTTAATCCCTAGTACCAAACAAAAAAAGCACATATTTATCCAGACAGGAGGCCCCTGGTGGAGAACAGGTGGAATTAATAATAGTTTTAGCAGATCCCAGGAGCGTGGAGCCAGACTCGGTATTGAGACCTTGCTGATGTGAACTTGTCACATCTTAGAGCAGCCCCACAGAGGACCATTATTAATTGGATTTGACAGAGGGGGAAACTCAGGCACAGAGAAGGAAAGTCTCTGACCCCCCTCATTGGCCAGATTTTTCTCAAAGACTTTTTGTTCCTATTTATTAGATGAACACACAGGATCTTTATTTATTTATTTTTCTGTGGTGCTGGGGATGGAACCCAGGGCCTCACACATGCAAGGAAGCACTTTCACTGAGCCCCACCCCAGCCCCTCAAAAACTCTTTTTATATGCACCTACGTGTGTGTATTCCTTTTCTTTTCTTTTCTGGTGGGGCTTTGCTCCTGAGTGACCCCCCAGCACGGACTTATGTTTTTTCAACTTTATGACGCTGGGAGAAAGAGAACACATGCAGTAGAAACCCTGTGTCACCTGCTAGTACAGCTGTGCTGACCTTGACCCTCAGTACCATAGTCAATAAACCACCTGAACTAGTCGATGCCTTTTGATTAAATAGGTGTGCAGTGGACGGTTCTTCTCAACTGCAGGCGTGTGGTGGGGGGGTAGTTCTGGCAGGATTTTGGCAGCGAGGCAGAGGACGACGTTCGGTGGGTTGGGGGCATTCAGTGCATCCATAGCTTACGACATTTCAACCTCATATTGGGGTGTAATTCCACCAGAAGTAGAGGAACGAGCTGGGTGCAGTGGCACAGGCCTGTAATCCCAGCGGCTCTGGAGGCTGAGGCAGGAGGATTGCAAGTTCAAAGCCAGCCTCAGCAAAAGCAAGGCCCTAAGCAACTCAGTGAGACCCTGTCTCTAAATGAAATACAAAATAGGGCTGGGGATGTGGCTCAGTGGCGAGTGCCCCTGAGTTCAATCTCCGGTACCCCCCCAAAAAAAAAGAAGTAGGGAAGGAGCTGGGATGGGACCCACCGGGATGGGACCCGGTGGTAGCGCCTGCTTAACATGAGTGAGGCCCTGGGTCCCTTCACAGCATAGCAAAAAACAAAACAAACAAACAAACAAAAAAACCACTTTACTTCCCTGTATCTGAGTCTGTCTCCTGTCTCCACACCCTCACCTGGACACTCTTATGTAACCTGGTCATTGAAGGAAAGGCGATTTCAGGTGGTGGGCAGTGTAATTGTTCTGGGCTGGGGCGAGGCCCTGTGGAGAGGGCCTCCCTGAGTGCCGAGGCCCTGGGCTCCATCCCCAGCTCCCCCCAAACCAAACACAAACAAGAGAAACACCAGATGGAGGGGCTGGAGGCAGCGCTTGGGAGAGGCTTCCCCGCCTGCCTCTGTCTGTGTAGGAGGCCCCTGAAGCTCCAGCCACAGAACTTGCTGCCGCTCTGTCGTCGCAGAGCCACGGTCACTGGATTCTGTTGTGGCTGGAGTGTTCCTATGTGAAGCGTGGCAGTGTGACTGAGGAACCAAAGTTTTAATGGTATTTAAGTTTCAACTAATTTAAATTTAAGCCACCATGTGTGGTGACCATGTAGGACACTGTGGTTCTGGACTTCAGAACCTGCGAGAAGCTGTTGGAGTTGGGAAGATTGAGCCAGACCGTGGTTTCCCTGTGTGGGAGGACCTTGGCGTCCTGGCGGGCCTCACCCCCAGTGCTTCTGGTTCGGTAGTCCATGATGGGGGCCTGAAAATCTGTATTTCGAGCAAGTTCCCAGGTGTTAGTTAACTCTTCCGCTGTGACAAAATACCTGTAAGTGGTCAACTTAAAAGACAAAAGAGGTGTTTGGCTCATAGCTTTGGTCAGTGGCTGCTTGGCACCATTGCTCCAGGCCTGTGGGGCACAGCACATCTTGCCAGGGGCACGTGGTAGACGGTCCTGTTCTCCTCATGGCAGCTGGAAGCCCGGCAAGAGCAGAACGGGCTGGGGCTGGGGCCCTGGTGTCCTGGATTAGGGCCCTGGTGTCCTAGGCTGGGGCGTGTCCCAGGCTGGGGCGTGCCCAGCGACCTGACGGCCTTGCCCCAGGCCCCGCCTCCCAGGAGCTCCGCCCCCCAGTACTGCACAGGCCGGGGACCAGCCTTTAACACACAGGCCTTTCCAGATTAGACCACAGCGTCCGGTGCCACCAGGTCAGCTGGCCTGGGCCACCCCTGGGGAATCAGGGCAGTGGGTGCTGCCGGACCTCAGTTGGCTGGCTCAGATGTCAGTCCCATGGGCCGGACCCTCCCCCTCCGGGGGCCTGGTCGCCTGCTCCTTCCCTTTCCAGGCAGGAGGCAGGTGGGGACGGCCAGTGCCCTGTCACCCGGCTCTCTGGGGTTGAGCGCAGTGCATGGTGATCAGAACCCACAGAGCACGGGGTGGACACACCTGGTCTCCTGAGGGTCCTCACCAGGCTGCCCTCCGTGAGCAGGGGTCCTCGCCTTCCCCCGCCCAGGTCACCTTCCGCAACCCCGTTATTGAGAGGATCCCGCGGCTCCGGCGGCAGAAGAAGATATTCTCCAAGCAGCAAGGTGAGGTTGGCCTGGGGCGGGGGAGGCGGCCGGGAATGTCCCAGGGAGTGACGCCCCTGGTCTTGTCTCAGGAAAGGCGTTCCAGCGTGCCAGGCAGATGAACATCGACGTCGCCACGTGGGTGCGGCTGCTTCGGAGGCTCATTCCCAACGCCGCCGCCACGGGCACCTTCAGTCCCGGGCCTTCTCCAGGGTCCGAGGCCCGAACCACAGGGTAAGGAGGCGCCCCGGGCTCCCAGCCGCCTCTCACTGCGCAGCCGCAGCCGCTGCCGGGTCCCACACACCCTCCTCCCCTCTAGCAGTGACGTCTCCGTGGAGAAGCTGAACCTCGGAGCTGACTTGGACAGCTCGCCCCAGAAGAGCCTCCCGGGGCCTCTTTCCAGCCCGTCAAGCCTGGTAGGCGTCTGTCCCCTCTCCCACTAGGCCCGAGCTGCGCTGGGCATCCTGGTCCATTATCAGAGACAGCCAGGAATTTCCCTGGGCTCACACAGCGTGTCTCTAGTAGAACTGGAGCCTGGCTTTCTATCCTTGCGTTCAGGGGCTGGGAGTGTAGCTCAGTGGCAGAGCACTTGCAAGGCCTGGGGCCCATCCTCAGTCCTAAAAAAAGGGAATGGGGAGCCCGGCTGCTTGCATTCTCCCTCATTGCTGCATGACCTGCGCCCAGTAGCTTCGCCTCCGGGCCCGGCACAGCTCCTGTGAATGACAGAGGTCAGGATCTTGCCATTCTCCAGATAGGGGTCACTCACAGAAGAGTGACAGGAGAGCCTGCCAAGGTGACGGCATTGTCCTGGGTCTGGCTCTAGGTCAGAAGTTGGCAGGCACACACAGTGTGCCCAGTGTATGCAGGGCAGGGACGCCACGCAGCTGGAGGGGTGTGCTCAAGGCGGGTGTGGGAAAAGCCAGGACAGAGGGGTCCAGGGCAGATGGCGCAGGTTGGGGCAGGGGCATCCGGCCCCCCACCTGACCTCCTCTCTCCTTCATAGAGTTCCCCCACCCAGGAAACTGTCAGCACTCCTGAGCTGCCCCTGGAAACCCAGGAGACCCCGGGCCCCGCCCTGTGCAGGTGACGCCTCTCTCCAGTCCCCACTCCCAGCCCTGCCCCCCCCCCCCCCCCCCCCGTCCCTGTCCCTACCAGTGCCCTCTCTCCACAGCCCTCTGAGGAAGTCACCTCTGACCCTCGAGGACTTCAAGTTCCTGGCAGTGCTTGGCCGGGGTCACTTTGGGAAGGTGAGTGCAGGGCAAGGATTTGGGGGCTGGGGGTCCTGTCCGGCTGGGTCTTGGGCTGGCCACTAAGACTACCTGTGGTTCCAGGTGCTGCTTTCTGAATTCCGGTCCAGCGGGGAGCTGTTTGCCATCAAGGCTTTGAAGAAAGGGGACATTGTGGCTAGAGATGAGGTAGAGAGGTGAGAGCCCTGCTGTGACCCTCTGGGGACCTCTGTCTTTTCTTCTGGGAAATGAGAGACAGAGCCATCCTGTTTTTGGAGCTGTAGTGAGAGTGACTCATAACAGCCACTGGAACTTATTACTCTTATATTTAAGATAATAGTGACAATTTAAAGAGCAGTTATTCTCTCAAGCAGTAAATACTGTTATAGTTCCCTTTCTGCTGATGGCACACAGAGATTGAGCAATTTGTCCAAAGTCACATGGCCAGTAAGCAGCAGGTCCAGCTTTGAACCTCGGGCCTCAGGCTCCGAAGCTGGTGCTACTACACTGCCTCTGCTTTGGGGTCAGGGCCCCAGGTTAAAATCTCAGCTCTGCTGGATGTGCTTGGAGAACCTGAGTTCTCCCTTCAGTACTGCAGTCTCCTGATCTGTCAAAGGGGAATGATAACATCCTTCTTGCAGGGTAAATGAGAGGATTCATCTGAAGTACTCTAAACAGAGCTTAATCCCTATAAACACTCAACAGAGGCACTGGGATTGTCCCCAGCCTTCCCAATAATAATAATCAGGAAATCAACTTAGAAAGGTTTAAACAAACAAAAGAATTTATTGAGCTGGACCAGAAAAGTCCTGGGGTGAGTGCCTTCAGGCATGGCTGTATCCAGGTGCTCAGATGAGGTTTCTCAGTTCTGTGTTCCTGTGTGCGGGCTTGGCTTGCAGTCCACTCCAGAGGGCAAAGATACCTCTGTACTCCAACAGCTTGAGATTCACCCAGCTTTAGCCTTCATTCCTTAATAATTCCAGTGGAAACCCTGGCAATCCAGTGGTGGAAGCAGAGTCCCTGTGGGGGGCGCCTCAGCCACTGGGCACAGCCAGAGCCCCCTCCCAAACTAGGCTATCCCTCTCTGTACCCTCTGACCCCATAGGGACCTCAATCCAAGTCCCTTGATTAGGCTTGCCCAACCCTGAACCAATCCCTGGCCAAAGAGTTGGAGTACCCCAGTGGCCTGGGCCTTGTGCCCAGCCCTGCGGTTCCCCAAAGGAAGGCCATGGGGGCAGTTACTGGGAAGACAGATGGGTTCTGGGTGCCTCTTTAGCAGATCAGGTTGTTGAGGTTCAGAGATTGTAAGCAACTTATCCGAAGTGCACATCTGTATCTGCGGTGGACTGAGGACTCCGGGGAGAGTGGGAGTTGGGGGTTGGGGGTGTCCATGACCTGTGCCCCCCACCCCTGTCCCTTCCCAGCCTGATGTGTGAGAAGCGGATCTTGGCAGCCGTGACCAGCGCGGGACACCCGTTCCTGGTGAACCTCTTCGGCTGCTTCCAGACGCCGGAGCACGTGTGCTTCGTGATGGAGTACTCCGCGGGCGGCGACCTCATGCTGCACATCCACAGCGACGTGTTCTCCGAGCCCCGAGCCGTGTGAGCCACTGCCCAGGCTCTCAGCCCGGGCGCCACCCTCCACCCCTGGGCCCTGCCTCCCCGGCCTCCGGGAGCTCTTGGGGGCTGGGGGCCCAAGGGTGCGGGTTCCAGGCTCCCAGGACCCGCCCACTCTCTCCGCAGCTTCTACTCGGCCTGCGTGGTTCTGGGGCTGCAGTTCCTCCACGAACACAAGATCGTCTACAGGTGTGTGCTGTGGGGGCGCCTCGGCCCTGGCACAGCCAGAGCCCCCCCAAACCAGCCTGTCCCTCTCTGTACCTCTGACCCCACAGGGACCTCAAGTTGGACAATTTGCTCCTGGACACTGAGGGCTACGTCAAGATCGCAGACTTTGGCCTCTGCAAAGAGGGTGAGCAGCGGAGCCTGGGGTCGGACAGGGAGGGGGCGGCAGGCTGTGTGGACCACGGTGGCGGTGCTGGGCCGCCCGCTAAGCTCGCCTGGCCCTGCTGCTCCAGGCATGGGCTATGGGGACCGGACCAGCACCTTCTGCGGGACCCCGGAGTTCCTGGCGCCCGAGGTGCTGACAGACACGTCCTACACCCGGGCCGTGGACTGGTGGGGGCTGGGCGTGCTGCTCTACGAGATGCTGGTCGGTGAGGTGAGGCCCCAGGGCGCCCCCACCGGGCCTGGAGTGTGCCTATGCCCAGGGCTGGGACGCAACTCTGCCTCCGCCACAGCTGGGTGAGGAGGGCAGGTGGCTTTGCCCCTGGACCTCAGTGCCCAATCTGTGAAATGGGATACTCGCCCCTCTTCAAGCCAGCCCCTGTGGGGACGCACCGCCAAAGCAAGGGTTCGGGTGGAACTGGGTGTGGTATCCCGGAGAGGGGCCTCGTTCACCCCACCCCTGTCCCCAGTCGCCATTCCCAGGGGATGATGAGGAGGAGGTGTTTGACAGCATCGTCAATGATGAGGTCCGCTACCCGCGCTTCCTGTCTGCGGAGGCCATCGGCATCATGCGGAGGGTGAGGACGCCCGGGCAGGGACGGCCCAGACAGGGGCTCTGGGTCAGGGGCTCTGGGTCAGGGCCTCGGCGGGAGATGGACCTGACGCAGCTTTGCACCCGCAGCTGCTGCGGAGGAATCCAGAGCGGAGGTTGGGGTCCAGTGAGCGAGATGCAGAGGACGTGAAGAAGCAGCCGTTCTTCAGGGTGAGACCCCAGGAGCCAGTCGCCATTCCCACCCCAGGGGCCCGTGAGCCACGGGCTGTGTCCTCCCCTCCCCTCCCACACGGCCCCGTGGAGGCCCAGTCACTCCTTCCGGCCTGGTGGGCCGTGTCCCGGGTGAGCCAGTTCCCCCTGCCCCAGCCTCACCCCTCTTCTTCCACCTTGTGCTGACCCCACAAACCCAGGGCCGGCCTCTCTCAGCCACGCCTGCCCCGAGCCTCCCATCCTGACCTCCCTCTCCTGCCTTCCCAGACACTGGGCTGGGAAGCCCTGCTGGCCCGGCGCCTGCCCCCACCCTTCGTGCCCACGCTCTCGGGGCGCACCGATGTCAGCAACTTCGACGAGGAGTTCACCGGGGAGGCCCCCACGCTGAGCCCACCCCGCGACGCGCGGCCCCTCACTGCCACTGAGCAGGCAGCCTTCCAGGACTTCGACTTCGTGGCCGGCGGCTGCTAGCCCATCCCCCGCCCCTGCCCCGAGCTCTTAGTTTTTAAAAAGGCCTCGGGGTCTGCCCCAGCCCTGCATCCTGGCCCTTCTTGTGCGCCGAGAGGGGGTTGGGGGATGGACATGCTTGGAGGTAGGGCCAGGTGATGGGGCAGATCGGTGGGGGTTCATTTGAAGAGAGTCGGGGGAGGGTGGGACTCAGGGCTGTTGTGGTGGGAGGAGTGGTGAGCCGCGATGGGATGGGGGTCAGGTCCTGTTGGAGGCTTTGGGAGTTCGAGGCCATGATAGTGCATGGCTTGGGCATAGGTCTTGGGGCTGTTTGGGAGGAGCTCAGGATCTAATGAACAGAATCTGTCTTGGCTGCTGCAGTGACAGAAAGTGTGTCCCAAACACTCTTTGCTCTAGTCACTGCGGAGCTGGGGCCCTGGCGTTGTGCGCATGCTCCTGTGGCTTTGGCTCTGGATTCCCACCTGGACAACTGAGCGTCGGGTGTCTGCGCCCTCGCGTGGCAAGCCTCGGAGCTGCACCGGTCTCGAGGCGCACACGGATCTTCTGCCGCCCCCACGCGGCCCCAGTGTGTGCTGCAGCCCCGACGGGACAAAACTGGTTCCTCAAAGGCGCTGCGCTGAGCACTTTGGGTGGCTTAGCCTTCGGGCGCACTCAGAAGTGGCTGAGACCACTCTGTCGGGAACTGCGCAGAGAGCTGGCCTCCCAGGCGCTCCGGGTTAGGCCCAACTCCGCGGGGCCGCCCTTGGCGCCAGCCCTTGAAGGCAGAAGGCGAAGCACTTGGCGCAGCACGGCCTGGCGCAGCAGGATGTACACCCAGGGGTCCAGGATCTGGTTCCAGGAAGCAAGGCGCACGGCCAGAAATAGCGGCCGCTGCAGCGAGCTGGAGTTCCAGCCCCCGATGGCCAGCACCACCAACACCTGCGGGGAAAGCCGGTGTGAGCCGTGCGACGGGGGTTAGAGAAGGGGCGGGAGGGTGAGGCTGGGGTGGGTGGGGCATTGCTGGAAGGAGGTTAGGGGAGGGGCAGAGTGTCATGGGGACCTTAAATGGTTATCTATGTGGGAAAGAGCTGTGGAAGGAGGGGTGCAGAAACAAAGGCCTCCAGAAGTGGGGGCGTCGGCCAGAAGGGATACAAGGGCCAAGTCTCCCCAAGCACACAGGAGAAAGGGAAGCCACGAAAGAGGGAGGAGGGCTAGGGGAGAGGGGCTTGGGGGTCGGTGTAGGTCCGGACGGCTCACACAGACTCCTGGAAGGACCAAGAGAACGGGGCTGGGAGAACGGAGGTCAACGAGAAGGCAAAGGGTCGCCTTCCTGGCAGGTGGGGTCTTAAAGGGGTGGAGCCTTGGCTGGGTGAGGGTCTCTACAGGGATAGAGAAGAGTGGGCGGGGCCGGGGAAGGCATGTGACTTGAGGGGCTCTTGTGCCCCTCACCAGCAGCGGGCTCCAGCAGATGCACGACACCATCATGATGCCCACGAGCTGGCCCACCATCTCCACGTCGTGGGCGCGGGTTCTACGTGCTGAGCCTCCGCCCCGGGAACTGCGGAGGGCTGGGGAGGCTGAAGCGATGGATGAGGCAGACGAGGCGGAGGCCGAGCGGAGGCCTCGTGACCCCCAGCGTCGGCGGCTATCTGGGCGGGAGGCCTGGGGAAAACGTCCGGAGTGGCGGCGCCAGCGGGCGCGCAGCAGGGCCAGGCCGCTGAGCGTGTTGCACACTAGCGCAGCGAGTAGCGCAGCCAGGCCGAGGCCTGCGAAGAGGCCGGCAAGCAGTGCCTGGCGCCAGCCGCCGGGTGGCCCGAGGCCAATAAAACACCAGGTGCCAGGGTACTGCAGCTCATAGCGACCCACGCGTGCTAGCGGGAGCAGCGCCACCGCCAAGGCCACAGCGGCCAATGCGGCGAGCGCAAAGCGCGCGCGGGCCACCGAGACGCGCGCGGCATGGAGCAGAGGCCAGGTGACACCCACACAGCGCTCCACTGCCATGCCGCAGCCCAGCAGGAGCGGGCACAGGCCGAAGAAGACCATGCAACCACCCAGGAAGTGGCAGGCCCCACCGGCCGGTGCGCGCCCCGCAGCATACAGGCGCAGCACTAGTGCGCCCGGGATCACGTGGCCCGCCAGGTCGATGGCCAGCAGACTAGCGACGAACAACAGGAAGGTGGCGGCCGAGCGGCGGCGCCGCAGGCGGCCTGCGGCCTGAGCCAGCAGCGCCAGTGCCAGCACGTTGGACACTGCACCCAGCGTCATGGAGAAGATGGGCAGCGCTGGTGATCCGCCCGTACCACCCAAGGGCGGCACCGCCGACACGTTGGGGATCCCGGGCGCCGAGCACGTGGTAGCCTCGCCAGCCAGGCTCCAGTTAAGGGGCCCGCAAAGACTCATGTCAGGCGCCTGGAGGGCTGGGTAGAGGAGATGAAGGCAAGTGAGGCTGGAGGGACACTGCGGGAGACCGCGGATTGACTGTCCCATCTCACCAGAACCCATCTGACCCCAAGGCCCTTTTGCCTGTGGCAACTCCAGATGACCCTAGCTGTTCTGATGCCTGCGCCCCTCACTAGCCCATCTCTTGCTCCTCCTTCCACTCTGCCGCCTCCTTCCCATAGCCCACCACTCTAAGGCTGCCCTGGACCAGCCCCCCAGGTCTCTGCCCCACTTCTGCACCCCAGAGATCCACCTCTGACCCCCATCTCCCATTTTTGCAGCACAGCAAACTCCTGGCCCAGGGCCCCATCTGGAACACCTATTTCTGACCCCAGGGACAGGCTGCTCGCAGGTGCCCGCACTGACCTTCACCATGTCACCTTCACTTCAGTCCCATCCTTGATGTCCCCAGCTCCAACTCCACTATCACAGACATCCCCGTCCCCATGGACCCATCTCTGACCCCCATGGCACTGTCTCTGTCCCCATAACCCTCCCCCCACAGCCCCATCTCTCGTCTGTGGACCCATTTCTGTGTCCCAGGACCCATCTCTGTGCCTCTCAGCCTGGTCCCATTTTTTGCTTTGATGGCACTGTATCTTTATAGTCATGTCTTTGTCCCCACAGTCCCATCTCTGGCTTCCATGGCACTCTCTCCCAGAACCTCGTCTCTGGGCCCTGTGGTCATATTTGTGCCCATGGCCACAACTCGGTCCTCCACGGTGGTCTCTGGGCTCCACTGCTCTCACCCGGGCACCATCCCTGACCACCACCTCACCTGGAAGCCCACAATCCCACACTGCCCACGACCCCTCCCTGTCCCAGAGACCTCAAGGAGACCCACATCCTGCCTCCCTCTCCCCCTCCCACTCCACCACACCCTGGTGGTAGCAGGTAAAAAGCCGGATTTCACCCTGGGCCAGAGGGAAAGGTGGATGGACAGAGAGTAAGACCCAAGCACAGACACACAGGGACTGAGATCCAGGGAACACAGCAGTATCAACCAAAGTAGCCAAGGTCCCATCCTCATCCCCAAACCCAACCCTGAACCCAGCCTTCTTACCCAGTGCTGGGACGCTGGGTCCCCATGGCCCACCGCTCAGGCCCGGCTGCCCACGCCCGCTGCGCCTGGCTCTCTGGGCGGCCGCTCCCTCCCTCCCTCTTCCTGGGGCGGCTCCTCGCCTCCACCAGCAGCCCTGCTGGCCTCCAGGGACCGCTCCACCCCTTGTACGCCTGCTGGGGGCCTGGAGTGGCAGAGACCCCCAGTCTGTCCTCCTGGCAGTGGGTGGAGACCACTGGGGCCCCAGCTCCTCCTCTATGAGGAGGGAGGCTCCCTGAGAGTCGGCCTGGTCCCCTGTGACCCCCTCCTCCCAGTGGGGCGGGAGCAGCCCCTTTCCCCCAGGGCTCGGGCCTCTTGCCTGCCTCATTAATAAAGCGGATAAAATCTAAACACTGGAAAATATGAGCGTCGCCCAGGGCAAGCTGGGCGGGCTGCAGGGGTGGTGCTGTCTCCACCAGGTTTGAGGGTTGGGGGGCTGGCCTAACATGTGGTGGGGGGCAGCAACTATTCCCTGACCTGCCAGAACCTTTGTGGGCATCAAGAATGGGTGGTTGTGGTCAGTGCCTTGGATGGACTGGCTTGGGTCAGGCCCAGCCTGGTCAGGGGACCCGCCCACTATTTACACAGGGGCTTAAGCCCAGGCCAGGGCGGCCGGGAGTCACACCCTTGGAGACAGGGAGGAGGCTGAGGGCCCAGGGGAGCCAGGAAGCCTGGAGATGAGGCTCTGCACCCTGCTTTAGGGTGAGGTGAGCACATGTGGGACCCTCAAGGCACGAAGACGCACCCTGGACAGACTGGGGCCTCACCTCGTGCCCTGAGATGGGCACCCCTGGGGGCCCACCACGCAGCCTCACCCTGAGACCCACTGGTGCCCCCTGGCCCCACTCAGAGGCGTCATCTTAGCACCCAGCCCCCTTGCAGCACCCTCCTGGAGGATTGAGGGGAAGGGAGGGAGGGGCAGGACACCGGCCACAGCTGGAGAGAGGGGAGAGGATTGGAGGGGAGCTGCGTCAGAGGTCCCTTTGGTTATGTATGGGGGCGTTGAGATGCCACAGGAAAGTCTGACCCCCTGTGACACCAGCCACTTCCCTTGACACCTCAAAACACAGCCCCCTGAAATGACCTTTCCAACACACCCCTTAGCATTGAGGACCTGAGACTCTGCGAGAGTCCCTGTCACTCCAGGCCATGGGAAGACACTCCCTAGCAATATGAGGACCCACAGGCACATTCCAAGACGCAAGGAGGGGCACCCCTGGAAACGGTGAGGCCACCCCCCAGCTCCTACTCCAACAGCTCGGCCAGACACCCCCACCCATACTGTGCACCTGCAGTCCTGCTCAACATGGTCACCAGCCATCCCACGGACAGACACCCAAGACCAGCCACACCCCTCACCCTGGAGCTGTCCCCTGGCACTGCCACACCAAGAGTCCTCAAGTGCCCAGGGACGTCCCAAGGCCGTGCCTCAGCCTGGCCCCGTGGCTCCTTCCCCACCCCCTTCGCACCTCCGCTCACCCCCAAACATTCCTGCGGAGACCTCTGGCCCTGCTCCCCTCCTTCAACCCTCTCCATTCTCTCCAGGTCTGGCCAGGGTCCCGCCCTCCCCTTCCTTGATCCCCTCAATCCTCTGGGATGAAGTGGGTTGTCAAAACAAGCCACGGGTTTATGTCCTGGGAGGGGTCACGTGCCATGGGCCTGCGGACCCTGCGCGTCCAGGCCCAACACTGGCTTGGGAGATGCGGGCGGGGGCCAGGAGCTGAGCCCCTAGTAGGCCAGGAATCTCCGCACTGCCTGGAAGCCTGGTGGCTCGAGGCCAGGAGCCTCGTCAGGGCAGTGGGAGGGGGCGGCGGCGGCCTGGCCAGCTCCTAATTCAATTTGGAGCCCGGGGAAGATAGATGTCAGCTGCTGTGCTCTTCCCTGCCAGGCCCACCTCCCCCCCACCCGAGGCCACCAGGTCCAATACCAGATAGATTCTTTATGTTCCAGACGCAAATTCAGATACAAAGTCCCTCCCTCCCGCTCTGGTTTGGGGCCTAGCCATGAGGGTGTGGGGAGGTGGGGGTTCACAGCAGACTCTTCAAATGCGGAGGTAACAGAATCCAGGTTGAGGGGCTCCTCTCAGAGGGGGAGGGTATTATTGCATTTGCTGGCAGTGGGGGGTGCCCCCCTTCTGCATTCCCTGCAGCAGGAAACTGGAGAGGTCACAGCCCCCAGAGAGGACCTGAGGCCCCAGAGACCCTGGGACCAGTCTGGCAGCCATGGTGGGGACTGCTGGGGGCAGGGGCAGCTGCCCAATTGGGCCATCCCTCCCACGCACCTGGCCCGGCTGAGGTAGATGGGGAACCGGACAGGGAGGCTGGGGACCCCAGCCAGGCTGGGAAGCAGGGAGGGTGGTGGTACCGATTGGCTTGGGGCCGGGGCAGGCCCCACCTCTGCTCCGCATTGTCCTCGGGTTGCTGAGCTACTGCCCCAGGCTGGGAACTCGGGCCCAGGCCCTGGTGTCCTTCTGGGGATCCCCACCAGGCTGGGCCCAGGTCATCATTATGAGGTCCAGTGGAGTCCTAGTAGCGGCCAACCTTAGCGTCCCCAATGGCACCCCACACGTCAAAGACGAACTCATCCGGGAAGGCAAAGTCACCAAGCCGTTCATCCAGGGCCTCTGCCAGCTCGTCTGGGTTCCTTTTGTCCTTCCCCAGCTCAACCATGGTGGCAGCTGTGTGGGGGAGGAGATGAGGTGGAGGCACAGATGGTTTGAGAAGCCCCCTCCCCAAGACCCTCCCAGGCCAGGACCCTCCCTACCCAGCAGCTTACCCAGCTCCGTGTCTCTGATTCCCATGTAACTCTCCAGCAAGTCATCCACCTTTTCAATGGCCTTCTCCTCGAAGGCTGAGGGCTGGGGGGGGGGGGGGGGAGCAGGGACAGGGACGTCATCATAATAGGAACAGAACTGTCACGGTACTTATTTAGTGCCTTTATTAAGTGCCCTTTTCAGGGCTTCACATATCTTTTCATCCATGACATTTGCTATTATGACTCCCATTTCACAGTGGGGAAACCGAGGCCCACTTGTGTGAGTTCCCGGAGTTCATGGGGGGCGGGAGTGGATGTGAATCCAGGCAGGCTGCCCAGAGTCCCCTCACCAACCACGACACGAAGGGCGAGGGGCTGGAGCTGGGTAGATCACTCACCAGATCCTCCACTGTGGCAGGGCCCCGGGATCGGAGCCGGAGGGTCCCTCGACCGGTGCCCAGCTGTGGGCCGGAGCCGGGGCGGCCTGAACGCTGGCTGATCATGTCTGTGGGAGGCAGGGAGGAGGAGAGGGGGAGGAGGGGAGATGGAATTCAGCAGGCCCTGGCCAGAGACCAGCCTTCGGGCCTCAGCGAACCCCTTCCCCACCTTCTCCAGGCCCCCGAGGTCGGGGGCCGGAGCCCAGGCCTGGAGAAAGCGAGAGGAGACCAGAGGGGGCCACGTCTCCTCCTCGAGGAATAGAGAGGGGATGGGAACTGGCCTCTGAGTACTGTCCCCACGGCCTGGGGGTGGGGGCCATAGCTGCCGGCCACAGACCGGCCCCGTCTGCCCAGGGAAAGGCTTTAGAGTCCTCCACCCCCACCACAGGGGCCTGGGGCCCATTCCTGGGAGTTAGTGAAGCCAAATGGAAAAGTGGGGGTGCGGGCACAGGGCAGCCAAGCCTGGCTTCTCAGGGCTGGGGGCGCTTGGCTGGGCTAATGGTTCCTGGAAGCGGGGTGTGGGGGCAACTTCCTCCTACCCCCTCCCGCCCCCTGCTCCCAGGCTGGGCGGGGAGCCAGCGCGCCCTCCTGGGGCGGGGCGGAGCTTCCCGCCTTCCCCTGCAGCCAGCCAGGCACGGCCGCCATCTGCTGGTGGCTCCAGGTACTGCAGGCGGATGGGGCCAAGAGCAGGGTCATGGTGGGCGGGGT